GAAAATGTCATGTGTGAAAGGAGAGAACTTTTGATAAATGCACCATGAAAAATACATACTCTGAACGCGAAGATTATAAACAAGTCTCTCTGTTTTTGTCATTTAAAGTTTCATGATGGACCCCACACACCATCCCCTGTGTGCAGTATGTGCTGTGTTTCGGGGCTGAAAGGATTATTTGAAGCATCCAAATGAGTCAATTGCAAAAACAAAAATAACTTTGATTACAGTTACTCTAGCTGCAAAAGTAGCTCCAACACTTGCTTTACAGAGACATATTTATCCTTTCTGCCATCACCGCTCTGAAGACTGAACAATTATGGAGTCTCGAAGTATATTTCAAGATTGTTTTATGAAATATATTATTGATGTGCAATTATTAGTTAAAATATTATTAACAGACCTTATCAAAAGTAATTCTATAGTAGTCAATAGAATACTTGACTACTACAATAAAGTAAAATGTTATACTTCTTTTATTATGTTCAAGATAGAGATTTTATACTCGTTTCTTTGATGCTAGAGTAAGAGATTTGGTTTTATTTTAATTAGTAGAGCTTTTGTTCACTTATCTACTGTTCTGTAACATGTAACAACACTGAAATGTCCCCCACTGTGGGACGAAGAAAGGATCTCTTAAGCCTAATCGTAATCTTTATGTTTTTAATAATGTTTTGTCTCTTGCATTCAAATGTTGGTCATTTGGTCAAACATTCACATCCTTATGGTTTCCTCAACCATTTGGTGGATCACGTTTTGAGTCACTATATCCACATGAAGCTTGGAAAAAAAATCTACCTCATTGGGGCATCTCTATCACTTGGCTTTAGGCACTTTAACCATCAAACTGCATCTCAAATATTTGGTATAGGCCTGTAATTTAAAAAAACTAGGGGTTTAAAAAAAACAAAGCAAAAAAACAGTGCTCTTACATTTTATAGAAACTATGAGAGAACATATAAAATGCCCTGTTATTACCATGGCTGTACAATCTCACTCAAACTGACAACATTTGCTACTTTTTTCTCAAGAGTTGGGACCTGTTGGTGAGTTGGACAGAAACTTCATGTGCACCGCAGGTTATTCACTTCTACCCAATAACATTCACAAACTTTTTCAAGACAAAGCGTTATCCGGGTGAACAGTTCATGCCTACACTGTGTCTTATCTGCCCACGGCATACGTCAGCATTAGACACACTGCTCCAGGTCCAAACGTGTGACACAGAATCCGACTGTGAGCGATTCCCCAAAGGTCGACGTTCAAAGGTTGTGGAGAGGCGGAAAGAGTTGAAAAGACTCCTCTCTGATGGGCTTGGTATGTTCATGTTCTGGAGTTTGATGATGTAAGAGAGAGGTGTATTTCTTTAGGAGACTTATCCAAATTCTTGAAGTCTTAGCATTATTTCTTGCAGATTTTCATTGTAATTATCCGTCTCAAAGTTCTAGCAAAAGCAGCCTGAATTGTATCCTCCCTCTTCAAGCATTTTTCACCGTCTTTATATTTACATCAATATATCTTTTTGAAGCACACTTAAAAACAGCCGAGGCTTACCAAAGGGAAAAACAGTGACAATGGAAAATGCAAAAGATACAAAGAGAAAATAACAAAAAAACAGGGATATAAAATGCTTGAGTGATTAATTAATTCATTTTTGTTGACCTGAGATTCCTTTTTTTCAGGGGAGTCTCGGCCCCAGAGAGAGAGTCAGGGGGGGGTGTGTGGGCGACCATTATACTATGTTTAAGAGGAACCCGGATCACCTGGAGGAAACCTGCGCAGACACGTGAAAGAACATGCAAACACAGAAAGGTCAGAAGGTGGAATTGAAAGGAAACCTTCTTGCTGTGATGTCAGTACTTTTCAGAACAGGCAGATTAATAATATGAAGCTGAAGCGTAAATTCAGACTGGGAAGACCCCTGCTGCAGCTCTTACCCCATCCAGGGCCAGCCAATCACACAGCTCTTCTCAAAGCTCTTGACACCCACCACCTCCCCAGCACCTCCTCGAGCTAATGCCCTGGCTACTGCTCTGGCTCCTTCTCTGGCTCCTGCCCTGGCTTCTGCTCTGGCTTCTGCTCTGGCTCGTCTTCTGGCTCCTGCCGTGGCTCCTGCTCTCCTGCTCTGGCTCCTGCCCTGGCTCCTGCCCTGGCTCCTGCCCTGGCTCCTGCCCTGGCTCCTGCCTCCCATTCACATCTGAGATCATCTTCAGCAGCAAATGATCTCACCTCTGCAAGTGTCACTGCCGGGGTCAATGCGCCAAACTAATATATCTTTCTAAATGCATTAATATGTCTGTCTTGATCTCTCCAGATTTAAATATATCTAAAGTTACTTCTGTGTATTGAGCTTCTCCAATTCATCCACTTGAGCCAAAACTCCAACATAGTCATCGTGTGGACAAACAGCCCTCCAGGAGATGGGCTGATCAGACATCTGAGTCCATCTGCTCACTGTGCGTCTTTATACTGTGCTCTTGTAAACAAGTCGCTGTTTGTTTGTTTGTTGTTATTGACACTTATCTCCCAGTGGCTCCATATTTCTGATCTGAACAGCCGCGCCAAAACAAAAGATGTTTGGATTGCAAAACATGTTATTAAATCAATGCATACTTTTTTTGTTTGCACGTCTGTCTTTTAGTGCGAGTATTCACTGTTATGGTTTGTTTACAGAATATGGGCTAGGCATCTGTTGCTTTGTCCAAAAAGTGAGGGAATTTATAGAAATGGTGGATGTTTGAATTGACAGTTTGACTGACTACATACAGTGAAAAAGTGTTCATTCTTTGTCTTCGTACAACCACACACACGGCTATATTTTGTTTGCGTTTATTGGAAAAACAAACACAAAGTCAGGACTTTATTTTTCTACAACTAAAAAGCCGTAAATTAAAAGCTACAATTTTTTGACTGGATTTAGGTCTGGACCTTAGCTCTGACCTGTTGCCTCATCTGACTACAATAACTTCAACATTTGGAGATAAAGCTTTACTAGTGGATGTCTGCAGTTCCTCAAGAGTTACCGTAACCTCTGAGTGTTGGTTTATTTTGGTCCGTTAGCTTCAGCAGACAGCCATGTCTTGGAAGGTTTGCAATTGTGCAATTTGAAATTTCATCCCCAGATGATGGATCAAAACAGTGCTCTGTGAAAAGTCATGTTGTTTAGTGACTAATATGCCTGTAGACCTGTAATTATACTGAGAATAGATTAATCTGTGGTGGGGGCTCCACTTCATAGCTAGGTCAAAATTTGACCAATCATCAATCATCAGGAAACTTATACATGGAAAAGATGGCTGAATGCAGACTCAAACCTGCTGAGAGGAAGATAAATCCCATATTCACTGACCGTTCTGATCCAAGCAGCTAAGCGATTAGATGCTATATCAAATTAATCGTCAATTAAAGCCTCAATATATTCATGTTATTGTGGAATAAAAGACAAAATATCAACTTTGAGATAAACAAGGTATGTCGTTTTTCATTTTCAAAGCAATAATTCTAAATATGCATCATGACATATCTTTGTGCCAGTTTGTTTGTTTTTGTTTCATGTGAATAAGGCCTGATTATACAGGACATATGGACATTTATTCACATTTATGGATATTGGTCATCCAATGTCCATAAATGGACAATGGCTCATATTTGTTTTATTATTGTATTTTCTGTGTTCAAACTGTTTTATTCCCTGATCTGTTGTTGGTGAGTTGAAATAGTAAACATAAACAATGCAGGAATAAAACATTTGAACATATATACTTCAAGTGCAAAACTGACTTATTTAAGCTATTGTTCAGTTGTTTTTAGATTTACAAAATAATAACAAATAATAGTAATAACACATTTTAGAGACTGAAAGACGCTTCACATGGTAGCAGTCTTTCACACCATACATGGTGGTGATAAGCTCCTAATGTAGCCACAGCTGCCCTTTGACAGACTGATGGAATCGAGGCAAATATGTGCCAATGGCCTCTCCATTCACCACCAAACATTCACATACACTATTTCGAGGACATAACGACAAATTTGTACTTTACAGCTGTGGCTGCCCCACTTCGGCACTTGGTGTTCCCAGTGGTCTCCCATTATAGCATTGACCAGGCCCCATCCCGCTTAGATTTAGAGCTTTATCTACAATTTTGTGAATACCTCTCTCAAATAATGTTGAAACACGAATGTGCTAGTTTATTGAATACAAATATTGTTATACTAATGATGGCCCTACAACACCTCAGTAACTTACTCAATACTGCCCATAAGCCTTCAAAAGAAATGCTTTCTTTGGGGTTTTCTGCTCCAATTGTATTATAGACTTTATGTAAAAAAATAATAATAATAAATTGTTTTTTATTTGCGTGGGCTATTTGTGCAGATACAGCACCTTTATTATTACTTTTATGTTTTCGTTTACAGCGTTATCAGAACTAATAATTGCCCAACAATAAATGATTGTGTAATTAAACAAGTATTTGCCGCCATCTGCTGGAATGTTTAGGGCATTTTCTTCAAAACTGGATTATAACTAGGAAATTGCTTTATCTCTTGGTGCAAACAAGTTAAAGTAGAGAATAGAATAAGGCATACATTTATTCAAATTACTGCTATATACAAAGGCTCTAGGTGCACACAATAGACCTTTAGCAGTTTAGCAGTGCAATAAATAAGAATATTCTGCTGCCTGCATGGTTTCAACTTAAATGTTTTCATGGAATAATGTTTGCAACGTGTCAAATAATTTACAAACAAAACCATGCTGCACTAATCCATTACTAAAATGTAGAAAAAAAATCAAAAAAAATCCAGGCAAAATATTCTTTAGATTTAATTTGTGAAAGTAGTGGAACTTCTTAACCTCTTTAGTGCTTTTAATTTGAAATGCAGACAGTGAATCCTCTTATCCACAGCAGCAGATTAGAGCTAGAGACACAGGCCTTAGGCTTCCACGCTGAAACAACACTGGAAACAAGCTGAAAGATGGACATAGATGTGTAACCATGAACCACACAACACAGAAGGACTCAGAGGGAGAGGAGGAAGAGGAGGAAGAGGAGGGAGACAGCGACTTCAGCAAACAAGGACCCATCTCAGAGTTCTTTGACAAATTATTATCAAGTGAGTGTATTTTTTTTTTGTATTTGCAATTTTAACTTAATCTTTTTTACAAATTTGACAGTTGTACTATTTTTGCATTTTGAACTTGTTTTGATTGTGTTGTACATCTGAATGACCTGAAGTGACCTCAGGTTGTTTTAAAATACATTTTACAATGCCATGGTTTATCAAACTACTCAGGAGTGGTGTTATCATTATGTGAGCTATGCTGTATCCAAACAAAGGTTTTTATTTATTTTAGTGCAAACATACAATGAGTATATTTGGTAATAGTTAAACAAAAGGGCATTTGCATATGTATCAATATGAAGTCTATATAAGTCTATTTTGAGCTTTTGTGCACAGTTAGGGGTTCCAAACGTACTGGATAACGTTGTATTTTTTCGGGGAAATGTATTCTGTGTATCAATTTCTAGAGGAGCTTTAAAAAAGAAGATGTGTTAGAGCTGTAATATTTTTGTGAACTCAAATATTAAATAAATTGCTCTGTGAATTGAATCTAAGTCTTGTTTGGTGTGTCTATACAGTAACAATAGAGATATATGGTCATAACCAGTTTATTATGCGTAATAGATACAAACAAACCCGGGGAAATGCCATGTTATGACTGTCTATGATTATGACCATGGACTGTAGTTATGACACTCAATACGTCATAACATGCGACGCGTTTGTAGTTTTTAAACACGCGACATTCTCCCGGAGTGCTTTTATGAGCTACATCTTAATATTGAGCCTATAAGCGCTGGTATTCGTTTATAACTATAGCAAGTGTCTTTTCCAACCAGTTACATAGAGACAACCCGAAATAGCGCGTTCTCAAATTAGCATAAAGCAGGATGTTAGCTTGTATTAGCAGCTGTGCTAGCTAACAACATTGCACAAGACAGAAATGCATAATCTAAGAACACAAAAAGAGAAGCGACTGAAACCAGGAAGCCATCACGAACATCGCTGCTCCATCTGAAGATTGATGGTCATTTCGGGGTTTTTTTTGCAGGTTTTCTACGAAATTTGCTCTGTTTTAGACTCGTCCACAACATGTTGAATGTACCGACCCAGTCTTTCCCGGCTCCGAGCTCCCAGCAACGGGTTTCACCGGGAGGATCCGCCGGTACCGGGAGGAACAAGGTGGGTCCTACGGCTGGTATCTCTGATCGTGGATTTGTGTGATAGGATGTTCTACAACGCTATTCGTCAGTGATGCTCAGGTCATTATAACATCTTTACTACAATGTCATCTGTTATCAATAATAATAATAATAATAATAATAAGAAGAAGATGAAATACATTCTTAACATCATTTGAGTCTGTCTCACATACAGGCTCGTTTACATTCTACTTCCTTCTCATCAGATTAGTTGAAAAATTAATTTAACCATGTCAGTGTCAAAAAATATACTCTGATCTGAATGCTTTCCCCTCTTTTATATTTTGTCTCACAAAAGAGAGTGTAAAACTTTTGTAAAGGAAGTTATTGTTTTATGTGAATATGTGCAGCGACAATGACTATTTATTGTCATCCACCTCCATCTCAATGATAAACTTGGGACAAGAAAATGACATATGGTCAAACAGAACTGTTATCGTCTGGTTATGCTGGTATGTAATTTTCAGTCCATTGTCAGGGATGTCCAGAATTAATTAATGTTTTTGGAGCAGATTATTTTGGGACTTTTTAGGTTTGTCTTAAACATTTCAGCCCTTAAATGGCAATAGTTCTCCACAGTTATAACACGACATAAGACTACAAAATATCTTGTATTGCCGAAGTTGCAACAGCTGACACCTTGAAGGACGACACAGGAATTACCAATTCGCCTCCATCAGATTTGAGATTACTCACTTTTTTCTGCTTATTTTAGGTTGCTCTGAAGCCTGGACACAGTTTGATGGACTGGATACGATTTGCGAAAAGTGGAAAAGATCTGACAGGTTTAAAAGGTAGACTCATAGAAGTGACAGCGGAGGAACTGGAGAAGCACAAGACGCGGGAAGACTGCTGGACCTGCATCAGAGGTGGGCTTATCTGAGAGGAGCAGAGGAGGGGTCAGTGGTCCAAACTTGGATGATAGGTAGTTAAGTACAAAGACAAATCAAAGAACACACTGCTTTTGTAAAAGTTTCATTGTGTAACTTTTCTTGCATATAGTCAAATTATTGGAGAAAAGCCTTGGTGTGGTAATGGGAAATGGCTTTACATCGCTTTCTGTCAACGTTAAAAAATAACATTAAGATTAAGAGATGGTAGTGGTGGTGAACCATAGTAAAAATATCTCAAGGACCAAACACTATGGATATAAAGTCACATTTGACAAAGGTCAAAGTTGTTATGTTGTACACCTATTTAAATTAGTAAAACACCATTATTATTAGTATTATTAAAAGATTGCATTTTGTTTTTTTTATTTTCAATCAACCTTTGTTGGATTGATTTACACTTACATTGTAGGAGGGCATTGAAAGTGCTGCAGTTGCCTTACTGACTGTATAATAAGATATGTTTTATCAGTTGCATTGCCCATTGATTGAGGCTGCTGATTCACTCCTCAGGGTTGGTCTATAACATCACACCGTACATGGACTACCACCCTGGAGGAGAGAGCGAGCTGATGAGGGCGGCAGGCATCGATGGCACAGACCTGTTTGACCAGGTAAGTCTTTTTAAACCACATTACACACAATATGTATTATCACAGTACTCTTGAACATGTTAAATTACTATTCTCTTTAGTGTTTCATGTTTTAGAACTTTAGAAAAAGTAATGGAACAGCAGATGTACATTTGTCATTTAGATTATCATTTAGATTTTGTTTTCAGTCTTCAAGCAATAGTTTGGTTTAATTTGATGTAACTTATTCACAATATTTAAACTTCCAATATTTAACTTTATTTCATACAAAGTTACTTGAATTTGAGCACTGGTTAATCAGCAAATACTTCAATTCAAAGTATCAAAATCTAAATCAAAATTGATTTTAAAAAACCGCTGGAGTCATGTATCCCTACAAGAGAACAGATCATACCATTGAAGTCACATTCGGATCACGTTTGAAGTGTTTTTGAAAAGGTCAGATGGAAGTTTTTTGTGAATGCCATCTTTGAAATGAGTGTAAAGTAATCAATGTATAACTCCAGGATTTTCGTTCTGGAGCAATAATCCTGTATAATCTGGTTTAAAAGTGGTGTGCCAAATTTTGCCCCCACAAAAAAAAAAATCCATGTAACCTAGGTCTGTTTGGTTCTATCTTTTTGGCCTCTGTCACATTTTCAGATTGGCTCTTTCAGATGAAAAAGAGAGTACAAGCCTTCACTTATGTAAAGAAAAAATGACTTCTAATAAGATAATGTTACGGTGTTGTTTGTTCAGAAAATGATACATAAACAAGAACAACATGTATGAGGATCCATCTATGAGTCTTTTTTACTATTTATGTAGCAGTGAAAACACACGATGTGACTTATGTGCTTGTGTCCAGGTCCATCGATGGGTAAACTATGAGTCCATGTTGAAAGAGTGTCTGGTGGGGAAAATGTCGACGAAGCCTGTTCTTGCAAAAAGCGGTATTTCAACAGATCATGAATGCATCTATGGCTCTATTCACGTATGTTAAATGTTTATTTGATTACATGTGTGATTTCAGCTGTCATATCTCCTCCTCCTGCACCAGCCGCACTCGCTCCCACTACTTTTTTCGCTCCACCCCCAGAGAAAGATGGCCGACCACGGTACAAACAATATTATCTTATCATGCCTTGTTTCACACTTTCACCTTTTTCTCTCTGTCTGTATTCTTCAGGTATGACTGGTTCCAGACAGATGCCACAGTTCATCTTGTTGTTTATGCAAAAAGAAAGGTGACACTAAAGCATAACTCATCAAGTTTTTCAATCTAGAAAGTTTCAAGTATTTTATTTTCATTTAATTTTCTTTCAGATCCCCAGCTCAGGTTGCACAGTTGTCGATTTGCGCGAGGGCGTATTACGAATCGAAGTTCTTCTACACAAAATGTCTTACGTTATTCATTTAAGTGAGTGTTTTGCTTCAATAACAGCATAAGATCAAAAATCAAAAACAGCTGCAAAAAAAAGATATCGATCAAAATCAAGCGTAGGCTCACGTTTTCTTTTCCCAGGGAGTGGATTATTATTGTTATTCAGTATTTGTACTCACCTTTAACTCATTGTGTCCCATTGACGCACAAATACGTCAAAGCAAATAGTAACGTCGTGTGCCATTGAATTGCCTTTTTCGCTATTTTCACGTTCCCAGATGTCTATTGTATCTAATATGTATGGGGATGACTTGAGACCATATTTTATCGAGCCAGCAGGTGGCAGCATTGCTCTCTGAATGGTTTGAAAACATGTAGGTGCACATGTTGTGCCTCTTTTTTCTCAACTTTCTGGTGATTTCTGGTGATTTCAGTAAAACTTCCCTCTACTCGACGGAGGATTACAGGGGAACGAAAAAAGCTATAAACAAAATTCTTTTTGCTGAGGAAAGTAGACAGTCCATTCTTTTAGAATCTGGTGTTGGATTTCAGATAGTCATAGTACACAATATTCTGTGGGTCTTGAAAAATCAGTAAAAATCATCAGAAATGGCTGGCACTGTGGGAGTACCTGTTCTGAAATAGGCTGGCATTCAATGAGTTCCATGAGGACCTTCACTTTGGCACTTAATGTTATTCAACTTTAAATAATGTCTTTAGTTTGTGTTGAAAAGATTAAACTAGCCAAAGGCTAAGACCACTTCTGCCACCTATTGGTGTTAGTTGACATTACAAACCACAAAAAAAGCATTTTTAAATGCTTTTTAAACCTGTTGATCTGAGTCTGATGGTGTGCGTCTCAGTCCAGACGGCAGAATAAGAATGTTGTCACGCCGTTTAATGTTACTTATGTTTTGTTTCAGGGCTCACTGATAAAGTGGAAGAACGTGTTTCAGGTATAATTCACAACATATTGTTTTTGTAGTATTGAAACTTCAGAAAGTGTTTTGATTATTCTATTATAGATTAAACTTGGAGAACTATTATTTACTTCTGTAATTCAACTTATAATGTGAGAGCAATATCTGACATAATCTCATATACCAAGCTATTGTTTGTTATAATTTTGATGATTATGGCTTACAGTCCTATGGCTTTAATCTCAAACATTGTTTGTTTGTTTGTTTATTTCAAGTAAAGAAAAAATAACATTCACAGTCAATTACAATTTCCAATCATGTGACTTGACAAGGGGATAAAGGACACTTACGTTTATTTGATTCCAACCCCCCACTCACACCACACGAGACCAAACATACAATAAACAGACAAACTCCGACCATACACCCCTTTGCCCTGGATGCAAATACATGATAAACACAATGATAGTACTCAAAACAGTACTCAAAACTCATTCCATTGGGTTCCATTACATATAATATTATATTGTATTCTCTTCAGCACGGTCAAAGTAATTTCCATCCATCCATCCATCCATTTTCTTCCCCTTAATCCATTTCTGGGTCGGGGGGGTGGCAGTCAGAGCTGCACCCAGTACACAGAGCACCAGCCCCTCACTGATCTTCCTGCAGGTGGTGAGTCCACAGGAGCTGAGATCTTACAGCGGGGGCTTCAGGAAAAGTAGGGTTAAGTGTCTTGCCCAAGGACACAACGACAGCAGTCATCAGTGGGAGTCGTGAAGTAGGTCTTGAGGTGGGCTTGAACCCACGACCCTCAGGCTCAAAGGCCAATGCTCTACCAACTGAGCTACTGTCGCCCTAACTCAGTCTGTTAGGATAAAGTAATTTCCCTCCAATAAAAACAAAATGAGACGAGCAAATATGTCACTGGCTTAAAATATGTTTTTTATTTTGTTGTAGTTCAAACAGCCTTCTCTGTGGGAAAAATCCAGGTCATGTGTCGCAAACTGAGTGCGGGAAAGTGGAAAAGTCTTGGTGAAGCGCTGGAGTTGCACAATACATTTCTACGCAAACAAGACAGAAGTGAGTCTCCAGACATGTCTTAAGAGAGGTGGTAATAATACAGGGGATAAGATAAAAGCTGATGATGATAGGGAGCCAACTGTTACTATATTCATGACGTAAAGAAGCTGCTAGAGTGAGCTTATATCTCTAAGAATCAGTTTCATACATTCATGATTGTACTGTTGTGTTGTTCAGCTGTGCTTTACAGAGATTGTGTGCTGGTGTCTCAGACTGAAGTGAACCACAACACACAGGTTTACAGACTGCAGCTGCCTCCAGGGAGCGTGATGCATGTGCCAGTGGGAAAACACATCTACCTCAAAGCCAACATACAAGGTGTGGATGTCACTGTATATTTATCATATTCATATTCAGTTTTCTCTTGGCTTTCTGGAAAAGAAAAGAAAATGTTAAAGCTTTGGGATGGTCTATTCAAAATATAATTGTGAAACCATAAACCGCTCAATTTAAAAACATGTTGCTATATTTAATGTTTTCAAAGTAAAATGTATTTTTATAGCATAGTTCTGTGTGACCAAAGTACTGAACACACACACAGGCAAACAAGCAAACGTCATATCAATTAAACATCAGCATCAAAATAGGCTTAATCTAAAAAGAGAAAGGTCCTGAGCTTTTAAATGTGCTTGTTCGGCTGAAGTAAATGAATTCTCTGCATTCGTTTTTTGTTATTTCTGAAGAGTCATGCTGATACTGAGTCACCAAGTTCGTTTGGGTCATCAGCTCTTAAACTGCTTTATTTAAAACCGTTATAGTCCACTTCTGACCCCGTTCCCGTGGCCTCCCTGCAGGTGTGGAAGTGGTGCGGCCATACACCCCTGTGGACCGGACTCTCTGGACACCGCAAGACTCAGCTCCAGATAAAGATCTCTACCTCATGGTCAAAGTGTATTCTGATGGACTGTTCACTCCACACTTGTACCAGATGAACCCTGGTAAGCAGACTACATTCGATATCCATTACATGGAATCCTTACAGCATGGCCTGAGCTATTTACTGCCTTTTAAAACTAAGTATTGAACCAAAATTCTCTGGTGAAAGTACATTCTTTATGTGCGCTTGGTGAAAAAGTTAAGTATTTGTACCCTCCTCTGGTGTTAGAAGTGGGGAATAACATGAGGTTTTTTTTCTCATCCTAAAACATTAAATAGTTTAACATGTTCGGACCAAAGATAAATATTGTTAATCGTAATAGTTTTGTAGTAATGACAATGGTCGTATATTTATCGGGTCTATTTTTAAATCAAACACTACTTAATGCAAGGTGCAGTTCAGTCTCTAGTTTAACTTGAATTACTTAACTATGATCTTTATATGTGACCCACAGGAACTATCATCAGTGTGAGTGGTCCAGAGGGCAGCTTCAGTCTCCGCCCCCTTCGCGATGTCACTCATTTGTTCCTGGTAGCTGCGGGAACTGGCTTCACTCCGATGGCCCGCCTCATTCACACAGCTCTAAGAGAAATCGAGACAATCAAGTGAGAGACGTGCAACACTGAGTCTCCCCATTCCATTTAGAAGTTCATTCATGTTAGAAAAGCCTTGTACAGACTGGTTGGAAGCTACGGAGCCAGTAGGGACATGTTTTGATGAAATAATGTGAATATTCTTCTATTCTTGTCCAATCCTATTTGAAATTAAGAAATTAGGCCATGGCCTTTTATGAGAATAGGCAGGGCCGGTTAAAGGGTAGTTTGAGAACCCCTGCTGTAAACCCATTCAGTATGTAATTCAGGTAGAAATTCTAAATGTTGACATTTCTTGCAGGAAAACAAAACTGCTGTTTTTTAATCGAAAAGAAGAAGACATTTTGTGGAGGAGTGAACTGGATGAACTGGCAGCTACAAACGAGAGGTACAGAGATTTATAATAGTATGAAAATTATATTAGAACTATATGACATCATTTAGACAAATTTTAATGTGTTATATGTGGTGGAACTTGTGAACATTGTTTATGCCCCACTTCCAGGGACAAAACTAAAACTAAACACTGCAACACATATTATAATTTACAAACCAAGTGTAATATTTATGTTATTTAATAAAAATCATGTTAGGAAATCAATATAATGAAATGGCTCCTGGTAGTTCTGACCAAGCCTAGTAACAGCTGGAGATGGATCCCTGGGTGCTGCTCTGTGGCTGCTACTGCTCCTGACCGGTCCTAGTGACAATGAAGGAGGGGTCAAAAACAAAGGGCCCTTTGGTGATAAATTCATTAATGATCAATCAATCAATCATTTTTTATTTGTATAGTGCCTTTCCTACACAAGGCAACACAAAGCGCCTTACAACCCACATCATATCAAGCAAATCATAAACATTAAAATCTAAATATACATTCAAAAAATTAAAAACAGAATAAAATCAGATTCAGATCAGATTCAGATTCGGATAAACATTAAAATCTAAATATACATTAAAAAAAATAAAAACAGAATAAAATCAAGTAATTAAAAACCTTAAAACATTAAAATCACACACGGAATTAAAATAATAAATAGCCAAAATTGCATAAAAAATAGTATCTATAAAATCCTTCAGTTGTATGCACAGCTAAACAGAACTGTTTTTAACCTGGATTTGAAAACTGCCAGAGTAGATGCCAGCCTCACATCTTCAGGAAGATTGTTCCAGATTTTAGCTGCATAAATCTGATCCTGCAATACACAGTCTATATTGTACAAGTAACTGTAATTATTCTCAGAAAGTCAGTGGTCGTAGTCAGGAACTGAACATAGTCTTTAACTCGTGATCAACTTCTGCAGGCTATCTCACAAAAGTGTACAGAGGGATTACATTCACTTCATGTCTTGCCTGTGTTTTCTGCAGGTTTGAGGTCGACTACATCTTATCGGAACCTTGTGAGAACTGGAGTGGAGAGCGGGGCAGAGTGAGCGAGTGTTTGCTCAGAGAAAAGATCCAGAAAACAGACGAGTCGAAAAACTTTGCCTGCCTCTGTGGCCCCAACGCCTTCACAGAGCTAACAATAGGGTGCGTATTGTAATAATTAATAATCAAGCCAGATTGGCTTAATTACTTGTTATAATTTGAAAATAGCAAACATATAATTTTTTTCATAATAAATGGTTTTACGCAATCACTAACGAGTGAATAAAACGAACAAGTGTTGTGTTATCATTCATATTGTCCAAAATATGGACAAAACACAATTACATCTCTAGCTGGACACACAACTGCATAATCATTTTGACACAATACTGTGTGACTTACAATACTCATTACCTCTTCTTTATTGTTTGTGCAGTTTGTTGAAGCAGCTGGGTTTTGATGAACAGGAACTGCATGCCTTCCAGGGCTGAACTTCAAACAACGTGCCTACAACAAGGTGGGATTCATTGAGAAGACAATGAAGACCACTATATATTTCTATGCATAGAGCTGGAGCGGAAGGACTTGATACACTGCCACCATGGACATCTGATTCTGGCATTAACTGGAACAGCTATGAAATATGATCACAGATTTCAATATGCAACAAGATCCAACATGGTTTCTGCTCTGCACCTTTAAATGTTGTTTTGTGAATCCATTTATTTAAATGAAAAGCTGCTGCTCAATTAAAATGTCTTATATTGTGCCTGAAATGTCTGCAGAACATTTGTCATTTCCTCCGGTAGAAAGAGTGCAGAAAGTTTAAACTGTGGCTCAGTTCTTGTAAACTTACGTTGCAAGATGAATTCTCGCAAGAATGAGATAACGATAAAATAAGATAAACCTTCATTTGTACATTATGATATTATGCACATATCAAACGAGATCTAATAAAGGACAATATTAGATAATAAAATAATACTGTAATAAAATGATATAGTGAACATTTCACATTGAAATTCTGATTGATAATTCCACATTTTTTAAATCATTATTTTGTGTGGTTCTGGCGGGTCAGTTCAAGAGGCATCAACTAATCTGTATAGTCTGCTAGAAATGGATCAACTTTCCTTAGAATATAAGCTGTCTCAAAACAACCAAAAAGCACATTAACACAAATTTGTCTTCTCAGCGGCCTGGGTTGCCAAGGACAATATAAATGTATTTAGTAGTAGTAGTAGTTTATTTGTTCAGTCACTTTTTCACAACTCAGACAATACAGATCATTTGAAAAAAATAAAGTAAAAAGTAAAGTTGACTGAAAGGGTTTAGGCTGAAGTGAAACACACTTCATTTGTAAGAAGCTGGTATGTTTTTAGGATTTGCATAGAATGCAGACGTTCCCTTGTTTGTCCAGTAGGAGACGTTCCGCTAATTCCAGTTGTTTACGTCAAATTCCATAGAAGAAGTAGCGGGAGTTGCCATTCCTGCTTCTCTTTCGGGCTTCTATATTTTCGATACTCTGCACATTATTTTTAGGTCTTGCGCTTTCATTTGTGGTAAATGAGTGGTAAATTCGATCATTTTACCCATTCATTTTCACTGGAAATGTACTTTACATAGGCATTAGGCAATCATATCCAACATTTAAATAATTGTTTTATGTGATTTGGTTGTCTAATCCTGGGCCATGATTTTGAGCCGCTTTTTCTCATGGACCGGTTTGTCTGTAGATATAACTAAAAACGAAATCTCCACACGCGGCCTTTTATTGGTTGCTTTTAGTTTTGTTTGCTTCCAATCACAATAGTGGATTATCTGGCGCCCCAAACACGTAGCCCGGTGTGTCAAACATGGAGGCGGCCGTGTTCATTCTGTCTCTGGTGGACTGCTGCGCTCTCATCTTCCTCTCGGTTTATTTCGTATCCTTTTACTGTGTTGAAGTGTCTGTACAGGGCTTAACATTTGGCATGAACTTTATGTCATTACTAGCACCATTTCCTTTGCGTTCCCAAATAAGTTAGCATCACGAGCTAACTATGCTAGCATTAGCTGCAGCGATTTAGCAAAGCTTAAAACAGCAGCTAATGTTATGAAAATGTGTAGTCCGAATTTAAGCTATATCTATAATTTAAACGTTGGTACAGATTAATTGAGAGTTTTTTGGGTGGCGAAAAGGGGAGGCTTGATCTGGATATCAATGGTAGTGATAACTGATATTATTAATGGTATGTCGGTGTAGGCGAAAGGTCGGCTTTTAGAAAGTGAAAATACTCGTTTTAGGATTATTTTATATCTCGTTTGTCTGTGTTCATTAACAGAGTATACCATTTTGAATTCGCTTTATAATTATTTCTATGATCTTGTCAAATCACTGCTTCTCACTTGGCTCCCGTTCTTCCCAAGATATATTTTATGCGGATTCAGAAAATTACTTACGCCACTGGTACAAGTACTTTAAAGCCAGATAAACCACATTAAGCATTTCCCCCCATTTGTCTATTTAATTAGAAACTAATTGTGAAGCCAATATTGCACCTCTGAAAGAACTATTGATCTCACAATGGTGAAATGTACATGTCACATTTGGCATCGATAGATTCACTCAGATTGTACAACAGGTTAAAATATAGTCTCTTTAGTGCAAGATATATTATGTACAATAACATTAAAAGTGACTAGCAGTGCAAGTTTTTTAGTCCTAGTGCTGGTCAATGAAGTGATTCATAGTACAGTCTGACAGCAGCTGGGATGAAGGCCCTGCGGCCCTCCTTGTTTCACTGAGGAAATCATGTCATATTTTGTCAAGTTAGTTATCCCATAGACTTTAAATAGACACAATTTAGCACGCTTCTGTTGGATTGTGTTCTTATTGGCTGAAATAGGAAAACTTGATCCCAGCATGAATACTGTGTAAGTCCATTCCTTAGCCACATGTCTAGATCATCACCCTGTCTGATCTTGAATGTGATTATATCAATGCACGAGCCTGCTGCTCCAAACTCAACAAAGTGAGTCATTTCAACATTTTATTCACTGCAATCCTCCATTATTTGCCACATAATCTTTATTTCTGTTTATTTTAGTGGGTGATCCCAGAGATGATCGGCCAGTGTCTGTCCACGATGCTGATGCTGGTTTCTATGCACTGGTTCATTTTTCTTCTTAACTTCCCGGTTGCCATCTGGAATATTTACAGGTAAAAGTCTGAGTCAAATATTGTAATGCCATATGGGCTGAGGGACCAGTAATATATGGTCAGGCATATTATTATGGGACTTCATTCATTTGATGTTTTTATTCAAATAACTTGTCATTGCTACCAGAGTTTGCTGTTTGACTCTTAAGTATTGTCATCTAAATACAATCCACTGGTCCCCTCCCATCTATTCTGGAAACATTCTTCTAGTAGTACTTTTAATGATCTCAAAGTCATTTCACCTCTAGCTATGACGCTGTTGTTGAATGTTACAGTTCCTCGGCAAATGTTTAATTTACAATGTAATTCACAAAGCCAGGATTGTTGGCAGCATGGACTAAAATATACTAGAACTAAAACTCCTTACAATACACTTTTGCATTTTAAAGGGTTCACATGACATTTACATCAGTTAAAAGTTAACAGTTTAAACAGTCGTAATTAATCGCTGCTCAATCACTGTCATTTAAATAGTGAGTATAGAGGCTAATCTTGAGTTCATTTCTTTGTAGTTTCTAATTTACCCTCTTCTGTAAAAGATGAATTGAGCCTGTTTTCACGCGTTAGATGCAGTCGCACCAGACGATAAAACTGTGTTGCTCTCCATCTCTCGTTTATTCAAGGTACAGCCGTTATATTACTTTGTTGCGTAGCAACGTGTAACAACAACATCAGAGCATGGCGCGTGCCAAAACCATGTACTTACTCAAATCAAATCTCATTACAATCATGTTGGCATAACATTTTCTAAATTAAATCAAATATTAATAATGACATGTAAATTATGTGAATACAATAAACATGTAAAAATGGCGCTTACATTCCGGCCCCTAATTGTTATTGCAGGGACATAACAATTACACAATAGAACAAAAGCAACATTTTTCTCTCTAAACAAAACTTACAACCCATATCACATTACACATGTATGGTTCTAAAACTCAAAAGTATATTAATCATCCATTTCAAGCAAAAGACACAATTTGTCAACTGGTCTCTCCAAAACATTAGTTTTAGTTTTCACAAAAACTCTTCTCACTTGACCTTTAGAATCACATATAGATTTTTCAACTTGTCCCATTAACCCATTTCATGTTTCTCTTAGCATTGAACCATTTCTGTCTTTCTTGTAATAATGGGAGATACTCTCTGGTCCAACGTTTCCAAAAAATATCAGACAGGTATTGAACCTGACGCCACCTTCTCTTTAAGTATAAGTCCTCTTTTTGGAACACACCAGGTGGTAACACTGGTTTTCTTTTCATGAGGAGCAAATGATTTGGTGTTAACGCTTCAATGTCGTTAGGATCGTTTGATACTCTTGTAATCGGCCTATCATTAATGATGGACTCCACTTCACAAAATAGCGTATGGAGACGCTCATCATCAAGAGTTTGTTGTCTGAGTAACTGATTAAGAATTTTCCTCACAGAACGTATCTGTCTTTCCCAAATCCCACCAAAGTGAGACCCAGCTGGAGGATTGAAAATCCATGTAATACCCTTTTGACCCAGTGATTCAGCTATTTTTGACTGATTCCAACCTTTGAGTGATTCACGCATTTCCTTTTCCGCACCCACCAGATTTGTACCATTATCTGATCTCATTACCAAAACCTGACCCCGCCTTGCAGAATCAGAATCATTTTTATTGCCACGTGAGTAACGAAGTTACCACTTGGAAATTGTCTTGGCAGAGAGCGTGCCACTTCGCCATTTGCGGCGCTGTGTGCAGCAAGAAACAGCAGAGAGCAATAACATACAGTTCACAGACAATTGGATAGACACATTGTGCTTTTTATAAACCACGGATTTTTTTCTCGGGATGAGCACCTCCGGCGGCCGGCCCAATGTAGCTGTCAGAGGGGGGCGGGATCAGGGAGGGGGTGAGTAGGAAAACAATGAGGAATGGAGGGGAGGGAGGGAGCAAGATGGATAGGTAGAGGGAGGCGGGGGAGGGATCCTTGCTGGAGACTGAAATAGTGTGAGTTGTTGTAGATTGTGGGACCTTGTTTATGGCCTTGGTCGAGGAATGTGAGATAAGAGTGGAGAGAAGACACAGCAGGAGAAAAACACATCGCCTGAGAGGGACAATATTATATGCAATGTAGCATCAAAAGCAGGCAGATATTCTATTAATTCCAATTAAACCGAATTACGGCGCCCTCAGACCTCCGTACACAGGGGCAAATCCAAGCCGGGTCAGAGAGTTCAAGCCTGACAAACAATGTCATTGCGATAAACCTCCTAAATGCATTAATGCATGAGTCAGTTTCAAGTGAGTGAGCAACCTCTATATGAATTGCTCTTGTGGTAAGGCATGTAAACAGAACACCATACCTCTTCACATGACTTCGACCAAATTTAACCTCAAAAGGTCCAAAATAGTCTATCCCTACATTAGTGAAAGGGGGATTGTCTGGTATAAGTCTGTCATGTGGAAAGTTAGCCATTCTCTGTTCACCAGGTTTGCTCAACAACATTTTACATTGTACACATTTTGACAATATTTTTCTGAGTGCAGCATCACCTTTGGGAACCCAATATTTTTCTCTCAGTTTAGATAACATTATGTTTCTACCACTGTGCCCTGTTTGTTTATGAATGTGCCTAAGAATCAGAGTAGACACATAGTGGTCCTGATGAAGTATTACAGGATGTTTCACACTGGATGGTAAAGCAGATTGGTGCAACCTACCACCAACTCTTAAAACACCATCGTCCATAAAAGGATCTAGTTTCACTATGTGACTTGCCCGTTTGACCTTTTCACCCTTTAGTAAAGTTTGTATCTCGTTTTTGTAGCTTTGATTTTGACAAAATTTTATTATCTCAATCTCAGCCTTTTCAAGTTCTTCAAATGTCAAATGAGTTTGAATCTTCTTTGACCTTGTCCTAGTATTATCACTGACTAAACGTGATAAACCTTTTCTGTCTTCAGACCTCTGCTGAAGAATCTGTTTCAGTCTTAACACCCAAGCAATAGCCTTTTTTAGCTTATGCCAATCTGAGTAGTGACTAATCAGTTTACTGACAGGATCAACTTGCACAATGTCAACAGTAACACTCATCACCTTTACCTCTGTATCATTATGAATGTCCTTTGACATTAGTGGTGATACTGGCCAAAATGCACAGTCTTTACTTAGAAAGTCCGGTCCATGAATCCAAGATTTGCTCGAAAGGAACTCACTTGCTTTCATTCCCCTCGATGCTTGATCAGCAGGGTTCAACTCTGAGTTCACGTATTTCCACTGTCATCAGAGTGCTCTCTGATGAGTGACACTCGATTGGCAACAAAAGTCTTAAATCTGACACTGTCATTTGCAATGTATCTTAGCACTGTGGTGCTATCAGTCCAGAAAGTAGATTCCTCTAGAGCCATTTGTAGCTCATTTCTCATTACTTTGTCCATTTTAACAGCCACAGCAGCCGCTGTAAGCTCTAACCTGGGAATGGTTGTTTGTTTCAAAGGTGAAACTCTTGACTTGCCCAGAACAAATGAGCAGTGGGTTTTTCCTGTTTCATTTGTGAGTCGAAGATACGAAACAACTCCGTACCCACGTTCACTCGCATCTGCAAAATGATGCAGTTGTGCAGATATGATCTTTTCAAATCCAACTGGTTTAAAACATCTGTCAACCGTTAAATCCTTGTAGTTTTGTCAAGTCCGATATCCACTCCTGTGACTTTCGAGCGAGTTCTGTCGGAATGTCTTCGTCCCAGGAGAATTTCTTTCCACACAATTGCTGCAATAGGATTTTTGCCGGGAGAATAACTGGGGACAAAAATCCTAAAGGATCGTAGATTGAACTCGCATAAGACAAAATGCTGCGCCTTGTTTGGGCTACTGGTTTAGCATTGATTTTGATTTTAAACGAGTCTGTTTCAACACACCAATTTACTCCTAATACTCGTTCATCAGGCAGCATGTCATGACAGAGATCTATTGCTTTGACCTCGGTTGCTCTCTCTTTTTCAGGAATGGAGGCTAAAACAGCTCTACTGTTGCTATTCCACTTTGTAAGACGAAATCCTCCACTTCTACAAAGCTCTGTCAGCCCTTTTACCATAGTGCAGGCCTTACTTTCATTTGAAACAGACAGCAGGCAATCATCAACATAGAAATTGTTCTGCACTGCACACACGGCCATGGGTAGCACCTTATCTGTGGCATCTTCTGCAGTTTTCTTTAAAGCAAAGTTAGCGCAACTGGGGGAAGATGTTGCACCAAACAAATGCACTGTCATTTTGAACTCTTGCAGGGGCTCATCCAAGTTTCCTTCAGGCCACCAGAGAAAGCGTAGCATGTCAGTGTCCTCTGGTGGTACTTTAACCTGGTGATACATTGCCTCTATGTCTGACATTAAAGCAATGTGATCGTGTCTGAAGCGTGTTAAAACGCCAATAAGTGTGTTCGTCAAATCAGGACCTTGTAAAAGTTCCTGGTTCAAGGATTTTGACTGGTACGAGACAGTACAATCAAAAACAACACGAATCTTTCTTTTCTGTGGGTGGTGCACCCCATGATGAGGTATGTACCAAACTCTGCCGTCATCACGTTCAAGTTGTTCTTGTGTCAAAGGTACTGCATATTCTTTGTCTATTAAGTCAGACATAAACATTGTGTACTCTTTGTGTAAGTTGCTGTCCTTAAGCATTTTTCTTTTAAGGCTTTGTGCTCTCTGTACCACTACTGAGCGGTTATTTGGTAATTTGACTGACTTGTTCTTTAAAGGGAGGCCAATACAATAATGACCACCAACCTTCTTAACAGTGTCTTTGACAGTCCATGAATTGTAAATCTTCTCGAGACATCTCATACTTCTCCTCTGAAGCCTTTTCTGGAAAGTCATGGTTGATCTGTTTTAAACACAGTGTTTCTATTTCTGACATAGAAATGTGATTTACTGAAGCACTATGAGCCTTTTCATAGTCATTTTTCTTCAGAGGGCCATTTATGACCCAGCCTAGGATTGTGCGGACTGCGTAAGGACCATCATCTACACTATGGATGATCTCCCAAGGTTCCATTGCCTTGTAAGCATTTGCTCCTATTAAAAGTCCAACATCTGCATCTATCTCAGGCAGTTCAACACCATGCAAATGCGGCCACTTTTCTAAATCAAGTTGCACAGGAATGCTTTCTTTTGACACTGGTATATCCTTGTGAGTGTATGTGTCTGGTAAGTCAATGTACACATTATCTTTTACACCGCAAACCTCTAAGCCTGAAACAATGTAACTTGGCTCTAACTTTTTCTGACCCATGGTGCGAAGAAGTATTTGTGTTTTCTTCCCTTCTATGCCAAGCTGTCTCATTAGTTTCTCTGAGCAAAAAGTTGCTTCACTGCCATTGTCCAAAAACGCGTAAGTGTCGATAGTTTTGTTGTTCTTCTTGAGCTTTACGTGAACTGGCACGATTGCCAAAACTCTACTGCTATTACCGGCCCCGGTAGCACCACATGTACCACCTGTGATTGGTATAGGGCTGACGGCTTCAACATTACAGCTTTCCGTTTCATTTCTGGATTGCTGGTCATCTACTGCTGCATTCTCAGTTTTTTCATAGTGAAGCATGTTTGGATGCCGTTTGGAGCAGTAGTCACATTGGATTCTTTTTTTACAGTCTTTGCTCAAATGTCCTTGAGTTAAGCATGAAAAGCAGAGTCCTTTTATCTTTAGAAACCCCACTCTTTCCTTATGAGATAGTTTTCTTATTTTCTGACACTCCGCAAGTGTGTGATTATTTTCACAAAACATGCACGGTTTCTGAAAAGCAGTCTGTTGCAAGTTGCTCTTATTAGCTTCTGGCAACTGCTCTTTAGTTGCAGGTGCTACACTGGTAGCAAATGCACTGCCCCTAGGTCTAAATGTCCTGTTTGTATTATTTGGTCTTTGACTTTGCTGTTTTCTGTCATCAGCATCTTTAATGTTACCAAATAATGGATCTGAAGCTATCTTTGCTTGTCTGTTTACAAATCTAACCAGATCTGAAAACTTTGCTCTTCTACCAGAGTTTTCTTGAATGTCAAAAGCAGAGACTCTCCACATGTCTCTCATTTTATATGGTAATTTGGAGACTATGACTCGGAGGTTAGTTGGATTATCTAGTTCCTCAAGTTGGTTTAAATCTTGCAATGCATTTTTACAACCTATTAGAAATAGAGAGTAACTGTGAAGAGCCTTGGCATCATCTGCCTTTACCTGAGGCCAGTTTACAGCTCTATTCAGGTAAGCAGTCGCAATCTTAATCTCATTGCCATAGTGATAATGTAGAAGTTTCATTGCCTCTATGTAACCAAGATGAGGGCTCATATGTTGGCAACTTCTAACTAAGTCTCTAGGTTCACCTCTTGTGAATTGTTCAAGATAGTAAATCTTGTCACTGTCGTTATCTGTTTTGCCACTAATTGAATGCTCAAAAGCTCTAAAGAAGGATCTGAACTCTAACGGATCACCACTGAAAATGGGAACGTCTCTTTGAGGTAAGTTTGTAAGTCTTTGTTGTTTAACCAACATTTCTGTTATGTCGTTTTGTTTTAGCATTACTTCACAAAGGTTAACCTCTTTGTCCATTTCTAATCGTTGAGTGGGAAACTCCATTTTAGGTTCGTTCATGTGGTAAGTATGAGGCTGTTCATTAGTCACAATGGGAATTTGTTTGTACCTCCTAACTGAGCGTTGGCTAGTTACGCTGTAGTTCTCATTTTCCTCATACTCACACTCCTCAAACACCTTTATCTTTGCCGTGGAAACAGCTATTTGAGTTTCCATCTCCAGCTGGTCTTTTTTGGCTTTTAACTTCAGCTCTTCAAACTCCAATACTTGTTTTTCTTTGAGTTTTTCTGCTTGAGCAATCAGTGCAGCTCTCTCCGCTTGTTCCTTTTGACGCGCAGAAGATGTAGATGTTGATGAACCGCAGAGGCTGGTCTTGGTCCTGGACACGCAGGATCCTGGTCGCCGTCTCCTTTCATTACCGGTCATCGATGCGCTGTCATCTGGATCCATGTCGTCCTGTTGTGGGAGTCTTGCAGAAAATAACCATTTATCAATTTCTAATATGAAATTGCTATACTGTTCCTTTTTGGGTATGAACCAGTATGTCTGGTCAGCTTCTTTCTCTTCTTCACATAGCAACTGAAGAACATTTTCATTTGCCTGATCAAAGTCCCTCATAAGTGTTGTAAACTCACTTAAATGTTCATTAACTGTATCAGGATGTTCATAGTTTTTCATCATGGCATTCATTTTCTTCATCTTTGCTGTCAGTAGAGCGAGTTTTGCTCTTCTTGTATTCATTTGTCTGTGTAACTGGTCTTCAAGCCCTTTTTCCGTATACTTTGGCGCCCTCTTGTGGGCATCTTCACCGCCGCACTTTTCGTCCGTCATATTCAGTTCGCCTCGTAATTTTCAACAGATCTAATAATGTAGTCTATGACACAAAGCATTCGTTGCTTTCTTCATAAGTGTCATCTAGCAAAGACTACAAATATTATGTTGTCTCATATTTCTTGGCGTGGCTCATAACTGTCAGTTACCAGTCTGTGGATGGTCTCTCTTTTCCCTGAAGAGCCGTTGCCGCGACCGTGGACTCTTCTCCGGCTCGTTTTCGGGAGCTGAGTTGTTTTACTTGATATAGAGGCTAATCTTGAGTTCATTTCTTTGTAGTTTCTAATTTACCCTCTTCTGTAAAAGATGAATTGAGCCTGTTTTCACGCGTTAGATGCAGTCGCACCAGACGGTAAAACAACTGTGTTGCTCTCCATCTCTCGTTTATTCAAGGTACAGCCGTTATATTACTTTGTTGCGTAGCAACATGTAACAACAACATCAGAGCATGGCGCGTGCCAAAACCATGTACTTACTCAAATCAAATCTCATTACAATCATGTTGGCATAACATTTTCTAAATTAAATCAAATATTAATAATGACATGTAAATTATGTGAATACAATAAACATGTAAAAATGGCGCTTACAGTGAGAATGGATCTAGCGTACTGTAATCAGTGTTCATTTCCCTCCTTCTACTCGAAACATAATTGTGTGTAAACTGTATCTGTGGTAGGTACGTGAAGGTGCCGCTAGGGAACATGGGAGTGTTTGACCCAACGGAGATCCACAACCGCGGGCAGCTCAAGTCGCACATGAAGGAGGCCATGATCAAACTGGGGTACCACCTGCTCTGCTTCTTCATCTACTTGTACAGGTGCAGCACGCCGCTCCATTATCACAATCCACTGTGAAGCTCCCAATGTTATTATTTGTAAATGTTGTCTGGGTCAGGGCAAAAGGCATACCGCAAACTCATTCCCTCTTTTCCTTTTTTGTTGTTGTTAGATTTTGTTTTTTGTTTGACTGTGTTGAAAAAAAAAAAAGAATTTACTGTAATTCTTTGTTTTTCTGTTGCAGCATGATTCTCGCGCTGATCAACGACTGAGGCTCCAAACTCCAGCGCAGGTTCAGATGGCAGGTTCTTTGTCATTCTAACTGCATCCACTCGAGCTGAACACAAACCAACACTTTCCATCACACGACCAACAAAGTGGTTCCCAAACTGTGGCTCTGGGACGATATAAGGCCTGGACATTGACTAAAATGTACAAAACATGTTGATAAGTGTGTGCCAGAATGATTGTAGTTACAGGCTTTAGAAATGATCAGTTTGAGAACGACTTGTCTGCAGCATCTGCTTATTTTTACAGTTGCACTATTGAGAACCCCAGCTGGGCTTTACGGCTTCTTTTGACTTCGGCAAACTGCGATGCCGGTTTCCCCAAAACGGTGTAAATGTGTGAACACTTTAGTTCGCCGAGGTCAGCGTAGCACACTCTTTGGTTTTAAGCCCACACCGAAGTCAGAGTGTGTACGCCAGCGTTGCTTAGCCTGTGCAATGTTTTCACTTCAATATTTCACAAGAAGCTCAATGGGTTTGAATAGAGCTCAACTTGTAATATTTGTATTCATCTTAAACGATCAGGCTCATTGTCTTTGTAGCAACTGATGTTCACAATGTACCATACTTTCTGGACTATAAGGCACACCTGCAACATTAAGAAAAAGTACATTTTGTCCACATTAAGGCTGCACTTGGTTTTCATGTTGTAATGTAGCAGATAGATTACTCTTAACGAGGCACAACATGATTTAAGGTTTTTAACAGCTTAACTGTTAGCTTTCATGTTAGTACTCACCAGTAATTCAGTCTATTATGACAATCAATAAGTCCATTAACTCTGCTGACATCTCAACCACAATAAAAATACATATATTAGCCGCATCGCTCTATAAGCCGCAGGTTTCAAAGAACAAAAAAAAAAGTAGCAGCTTGTAGTCCAGAAATTACGGTACTCACTTTGTTTTAAAGGAAATTTTACAACTCAATTTATGAAACTTTTTTTAAAGAGACATTTAGATGGTTAATTTCAGGAGATGGATCTTTGTTTATCCCGCAGATGGGGCAGATTCAGACAACAGACTGTAGAGGTACATATAAAGTAGAATAATTATGGGATGAATATGAGTTGGGCACAGTTGAGCTTCATTCAATAAGTATTTTGAATTTGCAAGTAGAACAAACCTCTGCTGCTGTATGTTGTTGTAAATGCATCAAATAGGAACAAACAGGACAATGAATCTACTGAGCTTATGTTAAAGGGCACATATTATGCAGGTTCTTCATCAAAAATGTACCAGTAGCTTTTGGCTGCAACTACGCCAAAACCAGAAATAAGGAAACATCCCCCTTCTGTCTAAATACTTTTTTTGTTTTTTTTTCTACTACACGTGCTAAACAAGACTACATCGTCTTGTACAGAGCTTTTGTCTGCCTTTTTACACCAAATGTATTGCCTCTAAATCAGTTTTCTTTTCAATTCCTTTAAATCATATCCTGGCGTTTTCAAAAATAGCCACAGTCATTTCTCATTCTGCCACCAGATGGAGGTGTTGCACTTATCACCCTTTTGTTTATATATATTAATGTTTTATATAATAACGCATAATATTTGTTCTCCTAAAAAGTTGTCACGTAAAGTTATCAGGCAAAACATTACGACCACAGCGAGTTGTGGAAAGAACGTTTTGCCTGATTGTCCGGATCCACAGAACTGCTGTAGCCTTTTTATACGACACAGGGGAGACTGCTCTTCTGTAGCACCGGCGCCTTCTCCGGCTTAATTTATAAACATTTTTTAGAAACGCTCCATTGCATACACGGATTTCAGTGATGCGTTTGGTTTGGGTTGGTTTAAAACGCTTCCATGGTGTCAATTTGTATTTTTAAGGTTTGAAATATGGATGGGGGATGGTTTTTTCGCAGACAAAGTGTATGCGTAAGTCTTAAGTGCAAGCTCTGATTTTTTTTCAAGGTTCTCTGTCCGCAACACTAGATTGCCTTTTTATGTTGAAATATGTCTCTCTTTGTGTCTTTTGTGTTGCACCCCTTACATTTGTATGCGTTACTAGATTGGTCTCACTTTGCCTGGAATGTTCCACAGCATAGCATTACACTTGTCGTATCTTTTAATCAAACTTGTATCGCTCTGAAGACGTTGCAGTACCAAACTTATTTTTCTTGTGTAGGATTTTAGACAATTTCATTTTTCCGACAACATTGTAGTAGCAGCACGTTTCCATGACGACGGCAGATCAGGAGTATGTAAAAGGTATAGAAATGGAAGCAGAGAGCGAGGAACTAGTTAGACGGATTTTATTATGGTTTTAATTTTGTCGCTTTACGATAACATACTTTGTAAGATGTACTTCAATGACCTTGTTTTGTGTGTGTAATTTTTTTACTGTAAGCCAAATGAAAAGCTGCTGAGCTGCAATGAAATGCATCTGCAGGTGTGAAGTGCAGAACGGGAAATCAATGAACTAGTTTCTTTTATTGAGCCGTTTTAGATCAACTTTTTGACAGATGAAGAAATGTAAAATAAAGTCTAATGTGTAGTAAATACTTCTGTTGATCACATGCTCGTGTGAAACTGCGGAACATTCCAGAGAAAGAAATGATACGTCTCTGCCTTTTGGCCTTTCTGCTGATTTTTTTGTTTGTTTCTATTTCCGCTCGGACCATGGAGGGTGATTCACGTTTCTGAAACATGGTGGAGGAGTCTGTTTTTTCATAACTGCCACACATGTTTTAATCGTCTTGCTTCAACAGTCTTGGCTTAAACACATTTTTCAAGTGAAAACGCAACCTTTTGGTTAAATTCAATGACAATATGCAAAGAAAAGTATTAAATGAATGTTTTAGGTTTAAATCATTTGTTCTGGTGAGTCTCTATACACTCCAACTCCTACATGTTGTGTTTAATCTCTGTCATTACATCAAAATGTGAATTTATCTTTCCTGTGGGCTAGCAGTTTTATGCAGTGGTGTTTTCATTTTGGAAAAAAGTTTTATAAATAAAAAAGTGGAAGTTAACCTTTTGTACTTTTCTGTTTTAGAGAAAAGGGGGATTAGATCTATTCTTTTTCACATGAAAAAACAACGTGTCATGATATACATGTAAATTATCAAAATAGAAATGTATATTACCAACAAGTCAAAACATGAACATTGTGCTTTTCTTTAAACCCCTGAATACTTTATTTAAAATCTGTTACATGACACTTCTTCTACAGAACATTACAGAACAGTACAATCACTTTTGTAATAACACGGTTAAAATTCAATCCAAGCTTTTTAAAAAAACACAACAGTTCCTGATCCGAGTTTCACGCAGGTACCAAAAAGAGAGAAGCAGGAACCCTGCGGTGAAAAGGTAAAAGTGACATCGGCCATTTACACGAGTGCAGAGCTAAAGCTGGTGACGCTCACGAGGCTCCCACTTATTTCACTTATTTATCGTTTGGACAAAGACACAACGGCCTGAATCGAGTTATAGTTTCTATGGTTAAAGTGCGCAGTGACAGGTTTTTAGTAACATTTTTTACTGCATTTGGTGGAATAATATTTTCTGTGTACATTGGACTTCACATTGACATCATCTCACAAATTACAACAGATTCGTAATATCCACCGCTTAAATAGCCACACTGGGATATTAGTTTGCAAAAAATAAAATGAAAATACACAACTTACTGTAATACGTTAAAGCTTGGATACATGATTTCCAGAATACAAAAGTGAAACTCACTAACGTTCAAATGCAGGATTTTCTTTGAACATGTTCTGACTGCATTTTGAGGTGTGGCTTCAGCCCTCAGCTCCCATCCCGAAGCTTCATACTGTCCCACATATGGACCTTATGATTACTTTATGATGTAGATTAATACATATTTAGCAAAAGATGCACTATTGTCAAATCAGATGATGCCTTTGTGCAGTGGTCTTATCCCATAGTAATGCTTTCACATATACTTTTTAAATTATTTGTCTATTTTTAACCATTTAGTGAGAAAAACGAGGGTACATTTCGGAGTCTAACCTGTCATAGGCACTTCCTGATTTTTCAGATTGGGCAAACCATTTCGAAAGTATTTCCTTTGAAGCAAATTATGGGGACGATAGGCACTTTGTTTGAGACATTTTTAAACTGTCAATCTTCCCCCCTCTAGATTTGTTTTAGATCCATGTGCAAAATTAGAATTCTCAATTTGCGTACAGACAAAAAACATGGACATGGAGATGTTACTGTTGAACAATGTTCCACAGTTTGACATGAAATTGATCAGATTTTTACAACTAAATGTATAATGATCTAACCATTGCAATAGATTCAAAGGTTTAGGCTTCACTGCACTGCAAAACAACAATGTAACAGTCAAATTACATTACGTATAAATATATTTCAAGCACATTTCTAGCTTAAATTTAAAAAACCTTCTTAAATTAGTTTTTATAGAATACTGTGGAACATTCTCATCAAAGCCATCTCCAGGTCGACAAGTGGCATCTCCCAACACTGAAGGACCGCGACAAACTAGATGATGCACTTTTTGTTTCAGTTTTGTGGCTGTTTGATTAATTACAGACAACTTTCAGTCTTATATTGTAATAAGTGGGAGCCAGAAGCATAAAGCTGCCCAAGGGAACATGCCATAACGGAATAACTACAGCACAGCTCACGAATATCAGGCAATGATCCGTAGACTTTTAGGAAATTCTCTGTACATGTCCTTATGTTACAAAAGTATTCACAACACCTCTGACTGCACACGGCACACTCACCCAAACGCACAAGGCCTCCGCGCAATCTCAAACAAAACATTAAAACAACATCGTAGACAACTTTTTTTCTTAGTTTGAGCTCAGGAGCCATAATGAGTGGAGGGAGAAAACAGAGAAACGACCAAAGCCAAACGTGACGGAGCAGCAACAGAGAAATAAATAGCATGTATAATAAATGCATTTGGTTTTCATACAGACCAGCTGCATGCTATTTACAAATTACATAGAAAATCCTATTTGTAATTTCTGGTTATTTGGGGTCATTCAGCCCCTTTGACACACGTTCAACTTAGAATAACAAATATCATCAACATTCTCAGTTTATATTTGATTGAGATTTATTTTTTTACCTAAACATAGAAAGTTCTGGCGATCCCTGCAGTCAGCAGACTTGTTATCAATGTCAATACTGAGATTTGAAGGAAAATTATATATATTTATACACACGCACACAATAACGATAATAGAACAGTTAATTTCTTAAAATAAGATTATTTTTGATAATTTCATGGCACTAAATGGTATCTTCTATTGCACTGTGTTGTAGTCACCTTCTGTATCCATGTTACTATCGCTAAATTTTAAACTTTCTCTTTTTTCATTCATGCAAGATAGATCATGTATTTGTATGGTCGAGCAAAATGGCACTAAATGGTCGTTACATGCAGTCACTTTAAGGCTTTGGTCTTTTCTCTGGATTTAAACATTTAGATTATTATCAAATACATTTGCGGACGGCTTTTTACATAACAAGTGAGTGTGTCGTCTCCAAACTGCCTGACAGAAGATATCACGTAGAATAGAGGTAACATTCAAAGGAATACATTGGGAACCAGGAACCAGGAAAACAAAACTAAAATATGAAATATAATTGAAAAATAATATCTAACATTTGTTGAAAAGCAAAACAAATGAGAGGGTGTATAAATAAAAAGTCAAAGGCCAAAGGAAAAGCGTGACATCAATGCTTTGCTCAAATGGAGACAGGAAGTGCAGCTAATGTTGGGGTCAGGCTTAAAGCTCCCCAATTTTGCATCGACAAATAAATATGATCATTCAATAAAGCAAAAATCAGTGGTCTTATTTCTTGTATCACGTCATTTTAGATCAATGGCTGAGGACCATGGAAAGGTCATAGAAAATTCTCTTGAAATAGTACTGTGACATGACTCTAAAATGTAGAAATTAAAGCATTCATAATCATCAGTTAAACTTTCCCCAGTTGCTATTATTTCCTGCCATCCATCTGATCTCAAACATTTTCTATAAATATCTTTTCTAAGCAACATGCTCAGACATTGCACATGAGAGCAACAAAAACTTGGGATGCAACACAAAACAAAAGCTTTAAAAATGGGTTTCTTCAAGTGGGCGTAACTTCGTTCAAATACGCTGAGTGGATTCTAGTCAGAGGTCCTCCATTTTCTGCAGAGATTAAATAACATTGGAAATAAATATGTACGGACGAGCGGCGGGAGGCTCTGGACAGAGGAGTCTGACATCAGTGTTTTGATTGGTTCATAGTTTTGTGACTCCTTTTTCATGTCCCACCTCCAGAACAAGCAGCTGTCCAATGGCTGTTCGGAAAATGTGTCCCTTTGTCCAATCAGGAGAGAGAATAGTCTGAGCGACTCAAGCGACTATCAGCTGTCCATGTTGCAGCACTCCACTGGAGAGGAAAATAAATATCATGTTTTTAATTCTTGCATATGTCACATTGTCCTTTTAAAATTTAGAGATTATTCAAAAACATGCTATTATCATCATTACGATTTTTATTATGATTTTTATGCAATCCAAATAGTAGTAGCTACTTTTGAAAGTATTTCTACATGTGGATGTGAGTGTGACGTACCGCTGAGGCCTTCTGCGTCGGGCAGATCCATGAAGGGAGCGGGACCCCAGATCCGGACAGTACCGTCGTCGGAGGCGCTGGCCAGGAGCCCGGGCACCGCGGGGTTCCAGCTCACACAGTTTACCGTCCGAGTGTGACCTGTCAGCTCCGCGATCGGCAACTCACTGCGCCGGTGCCACACGTACACTTTGTGGTCTGAGGTCAACACAAAACACAAGTAAAGAGGCTTGCAGAGAAGTGCTCTGTAAAAGTGTGAATGACTGAAAGCTGCTGCAACTGTAGTAGTTAACCACCACCAGAGAAAATGAATATAGCAGCACAAATATCTGAGTATCCAGAGACATTCCTGTTTTAAATAGTTGTATTAGAGTATTGCCTTCGCTGCCGCTCGCGATGAAGTCCTCGTTGTGTCCTCCAAAGCAGGAGTGGATTGTGTAGAAGCCCTGGGTGACGCCCTGGTACTTGCGCAGCAGAACACGGTCCTGCAAGTCCCACAGGTGCACGCCCTGAGTTGCCACATTCAGCAGCGCTAAGCGGCCATTTTTAGAAACCGTGAATGACATGATCGGATGGTCCTCTTGCACTCTGAAATACATAAAGGTAGTGCTCATTTTTCAACTCAAATATTTGTATAGTTGATGTCAATGATACATGTTTTCGTATTTTCTATTAACTAAATTATATAGTTTTTCCTCTGCAGTATTTGTTAATGGTTGAAAGGATTTAGCCCATTACAAAAATAACATTTAATAATGACACTCGGAGTCTCGTGTGTGTGTGTGAATGGTTAGTGGTGGACGGAGGGGCCGATGGCATCTCGCTTCTGTCAGTGTGCCCCAGGGCAGCTGTGGCTACAGTAGTAGTTTATCACCAGCGTGTATGGAGTGAATGAATAATGACATGTGAAGCATCTATGAGAAAAGCGCTATATAAAAAACCAATGCATCTTTTTTATTTTTTTTTAGTGCTGTCCAACGATTAAAATATTTAATCGCGATTAATCGCATGAATTTCATAGTTAACTCGCGATTAATCGCAAATTAGTCACACATTTGCGTGCTGTGTGCAATTGCTTTTTTTATTGAAAACAAGGTGTAGTGTTATATTACACACTAACATTTGATGCAAAATCATCAATAAATGGATGACAAAATAAATAATTGGTAACAAAAAGCCCCTTCAATGTGTGTGTGTGGGTGTGTGTGTGTATGTGTGGGTATAGACCATAGACTGTATAGAAACATCATGGTGTCATTATGATGATGATAAACAATCTGTAAATATTTTGTAAATTTGTTCATGTGAATACTCTATGCTGTTTCTGTTTACCTTCGGTATATCTATGACTGTATACTGTTTGCTTGTATTGCCTTTTTTATTAACCCCCCCCCCCCCCTCCCTCCTATGTGCCCTTCTGGGTTTCTTCTTTGGCCCCCTGTATCTCCAACTACATATTGTTTGTAATCTCTGTCTACAATGTATCTGAACTAGTCCTTTTCTATATGTGTTTGTCTGCAATAAAAAGTTTTTTTTTAATCGCGCGATAAAAAAAATGACGGCGTTAATATTGATTTGCGTTAACGCGTTAATAACGCGCTATTTTGGACAGCCCTATTTTTTTTATCTCACATATTTCTGTCGGTCAGGTCCTCAAAGTTGTAGCCCCGGATTCGTTGGTGAGTGTCTGAGGCCAAGACGGTGCGTCCATCGTTCAGACACCAGAGACACTGCACCCGCACCCCCTCCCACGAGTCCAGCAGGTTTCCATCCAGGTCCTGATGGAGATAAACAGGCATTTTATTAAAGTAAGAAAATAAACAAAAGCATAATAAAGTAAGTAAAAGTTAATCTTTAGTTTTTGAAATACTACCACTCGGACCACCTAACCACAGAAACAATCTGGCCCCTTGTGACACGTCCTCTGTGACCGCCCGCACTGGTCCTGGTGCGAGCAGATCTCTGGTACTCACACACTGGTAGAACTGTCCGCGCTGCCCCCCGGTGACGAAGCGCTTGCCGTCTGGGTTCCACGACACACTAGTCAGACTGTCCTCATGCGACTGAGACATTTTGGTCCGTAACTCGCCCGTCTGATCAGAGGGAGGGAGATGGTTATACTGTTGTACCACATTTGAGTGTCTCCAACCAAAAAGAGAATAGCTAATTTAAATATTATGTAAAATATTCAGCATTCAAGATGTGACTCCACGAAAAGACAGCATGTAGAAGTTAACATTATTCTTCTTTTGAGCAGATTTATGCCTTGTCTTTCAAAAGACACTACAAAAAGGACTAATATTAGTACTTTTGTTTTATCCAATCAAACAGAGCTGAACTAATTAATCCCGTTAATTAAAACATAGTTTGGATTTTCTTGGTTTGATCTATTGATTAATTTAACTTTTACTAACAATGTGGAACTTATTTTTAAAAATTGTTTCACACAAAAATGTGTGTTGTCCAATCACTGTTTTCTAAGTAAAAAGTCAGGTTTATTTAAAAAAAATATCACATAGAAAAATATATTAAATGTAAAAAACATTTCATAGATTACTCAACAATTCCTAGGTAATTATTGACTGAGCCACGAGTTCAGCATGTTGATTACGTAAGCAGTGTTGTGTGAGGTTTTAGAATTGTTTTTGGATTTCAATGAAAAATTAAATGACTCCCCCACATACAACTCCCTCAACATTGTAGTTGCATAAATCCACTTCTCTTTTAACTGCAATGGTTTTAAGTCTTTCTGCAACCTGTGACCAATCTGTTTGCCATTGTTTCACTAGGTTCATAAGAGTATCAAGTTATAAATGATCTAATTTCAAAGCCAAAAGCAATATTTTCAAACAGCATCATTCTTGAGTGAGCGTTTTGTGGATGAATAGTGAACAGATGGACCTCCATAGTCACTCGACAGGTGGTCGTCCTGGAGAGCTGGGGTGAGTCCAATTTCTGTTCAAATGCTTAATTTTTCCTCATCAAACCTCATCAAAAATTCACTACTGGGTAAATCCAAATTCATATATCAAAATAGCTCTTTATTACTTCTTATAATTACCATTGAACTTGGTGTCATGACATTGGCATTTTAAAAGCCTTAAAAACCTGTTTACTTGACCAAACTTGGAGCTGTCATGTTAATAAAAGGACTATAAAGGATCCAAAAAAATGGTTTCTTGTATGAATTTGGATGCAGCCAAGAAAACCATGCTTTGAGTAGCAATACCAATGGGATGTGGCCCAGGACCAAACAGTCTTTGTTTTTAAACTCAGGAAACGTCAACACTTGATAATGGTAGAATTTGTCTTTGTAAACATCTGAACTATCAAGGCTGTTCTTTTTTATTAGTCTTGACTTTATATGCTCTAGCAATTTGTTCAAGAAGAAATCAAGCCTCTCTGACAGAAAGGTATATACCACATTTGTTAAGGTGTAAGATATTTAAAGATGTGAGATTTAAAAAGTGCTGTCCAACGATTATTATTTTTTATCGCAATTAATCGCATGAAAGTTTTAGTTAACTCACAATTAATCTCAATTGTTTTAATTATCATTTTAATACTCTTATCAACCTGGAGGTGATTTTTTTAATTGAAAATGTGATGCAAAATATCATACTATTCAATGCTGTCAATAAACAGATAGCAAAGCCTCTTCAACTTCTCTTTCTATGGGATCAAAACAGGGTGCTATCCATGTGTTTTGACAAGAACGCAGCGGAGGAGGAGAGTTGGCATCAGCCGTGTGTAGTCTATGTGGATGTGCTATGGTACGGCAATACACAGATAACTTTGGTCATGTCAGTCGACCCATCTGGTAACTTTTTGAAACTAAACTTTCCATTCAGAAGTTTGTCACCGTCCATTTCTGCATTTCGGCCTATACAAACCAGTAGTCTCTTTCACAGCGAGTTAGCAGGTAACAGGAAAAACACAAACCAAACACTAGCGGAGGGGAGGGTTCCTGTTTCTGGTTTCTGTAGTTTTTCTAATAACAGTGGCAATAGCACAAAAAAAAGTATAATTGGTCACAAAAATTAATTGCGCTATTAAAGAAAATGACGACTTTATTCAGTTTTGTTAGTGCTGTCCATATAGATCTAGTTTAGATCTTTATAGACATTAACTGTGCTACAAGATGCACCAAGGCATCACATTGGAGGCTTTTCTTCACACAGTCTTGACGTATTGAGGACACGTATGCATTTAAATAAGGCCTTTCAGACCACTAAAAACACGTTGCATTGCATTATTCATTCATTCATACACAGTGGTAGTGTCCACAGTTTTAATACCATTTTATAGTAGAAAAGAACTACTAAAGGTTCCAAAATCAGGTTTTTTTTTTGACTGATCCCCCAAATCGAAATAACCCCATAGCAACGCCCTTAGAGACAAAAAAAATATACTGCTCTTGGTGACGTCAGAGCGGGTACTTTTCAACGCTGTAAGTTGTTTACAATTTGGTATTTGGTCTTTTTTTTGCGGATATTCAAGATGATAAGGTGTACAGCGAATATAAGAGTAGTACTAGTGTAAATCTCCTCATTGACGCTTTGATAGTACAGTGGTAGTGTCTTTGCACTGGCACTCCAGCAACTAGGCTTCATTTTTCACCTCAGTCACATTTTCACTCTCAAAACGGAAATATATGTGTAATGAGCAATTGACCCCTGTAGAGTGCAGTATTGTGTCGGACATGCATAGATCCATGGCTTTGATCCATTTCAATGCATGGACGTTACCCCCTATGACGTCACACACAGGTTAGAGGAATAGACAACTTAAATTCATTAAAAACACATTCTTTTTATAAAATATAGGATTTTTTTGCTAGAATCTATTTCAGATTGACAATAATTGATTAACTGTCATGCAATATTGATATCCACAATTTAAAAAAAAAACCATGCATAAGGTCTTTAAACTTACAATTATAAAAAAGGGCTACTGTAGTACAGTAGTTTAGCATCACAGTGTATGGAGTGCATGAATAACGCCAAGTGTCCAAATAGCACTCTCTAAAACTGATACACTTTTATATTAGTAATACGGTAACACAGAACCAGGTGAATGGTGGTTTTACCTGCACGTTCCAGAGCCAGAGTTCAGAGCAGTCGTCAGGGCCACAGGCGATGAGGTAAAGATCATCAGGGCTCCAGGACAGATATGACACTCCGTAGGCATGTCCCTCCAGCGTCTTCAGCATCTTCAGACTGTGGCTCTCCTGTCAGGTACAAGAGCAAACACAATTATTCTTTCACATTTCTTCAGGGGGGAAATACCACCAAAAAGCACTCCTTAATGCCTCCTCGTGCAGTTGCAAGAGGTCAAGTTGTGTTGGGCTCAGATTCAAGTTACAACAGTATCAGTAGGAGAGTAGAACGTGCCAAAACCTGATTCCTTTCTCTTAAATTGTTAAGAAAATAAGCATAGGCAGTGCAAGTCATGGCTTTAGGAAAAACTGAAAGCACACATTCATAATAATATTCATAATAATATAATAAGATATTCTGTATGAGGAATTCCATTGAGTGATTCTATGGAATTTTGTTTGTTTTAGACGTGGACTTTAGCTCACCATGTCGACCTGCCATACAATTACAGTTGTGTCTTTGGAGCCTGTGGCCAGTTTGGAGCCGTCATTGGAGAATTTACAGAACCACACCTCGTTACAGTGCTCGGTCAGGATCTGCTGAGTGTAACATGGAAACTGCTTCCTGCAACAACAAGAAAGAGGCAAATTAAATCTCTTTGTTAACATTAAACATATCAGCTGATGGATGTGCACTGGAGGAGCTTGGACTAGAGTGACTGGTTCTCCGCCCAAAATGATAAGTGTGTCACAAACGACCTCAGAGCTAACAAGTCTGTAGTTACCGGCTGCAGGTGTGATCCAGCAGCAGCGGTACAGAGTCCAGTCCTGACACTAGTTTGGTGTTGTGGTAGAGACAGCGCTCCCTCTGCAGCTCCACGGCCTGTTTCAGTAAAGTCTGGAGCCTCCGCGGCGGCAGCATCACAGACGGCGGCAGGTAGGCTGTGGACACAAACTGATTTTACTCAGATGCAAACCAATCACATGGGTTACAACTTTTGACTATGTTACAGCATTGTTCCCTCTTCAAAAACAAACACATTTTATTTTCTTTGACAGATGTGAGATTTATAATGTCCCTCACTGGGGTATAGTTTAGACTTACCCATAGACTCTGATTGTAGGGAGAATCTCATGCCGCTATAGAGAATGACATATGATTGGGCAAAAGACTCAGAATTTAAATTGGACTATACTGAAACGATTCAAAAGCATTGTGGTTCTATCTTATCAATTCTACCTTTCTGTATTTGCGAGCCACTGTGATTGTTTTGAGAAAGGGGGAAAGAAGGAAATAACATGCTAACTTTTAATAAGGGCATCTCAAAATCTTCAACATCTAACATTCAATCTCCACATGATCCATTATTTGATATGAACTCAGCTGATTGCTTGTTACAAAATTCACAAAGACTCACTCTGTAGTTTGTCCAGGAGCTTGGTCCGAGAGGCAGCTCCTTTTCCTTCCCAGTCGGCTTTGGCCCGCAGGTCTTCAGCGTGACTGCACATCAGGTACCTGCCAAATATACTCACGGTTTTATAAAGATGACTAATGCAGAAAACTATTAACGGGAAAACTTGCATTTACGTTTAAGAAGATAGATTGTGCTTTTCTATCTATGACAACCTGGTGTATAATTATTATGGATTTTGAACGTTTAAAATCTCAAAATTGATATGAAAGAAAATATTCAACTGACGGGAAAACAGAAGGAAAGAATTGCAGGCATCTCAATAAAAATAAAAACAATGTACTCAATAACATTCATTAATAGATTGATCAGAAATGAACTGTTTTGACTTTTACATTTAACATTTTAGCCATGACAAAACCAGACACGTTTCATATATTAGCACCACGTATGGATCATCAAAGACTGATGATTTTTCTTTTACTATTCCAGACAAAGAGGTACATTATAGTCCACTACTAATGTGACGGGTAGATTTTCACACTCCAAATCTCAGGGGGAGATTTTCACACAGATACAGATTCTGTGACTCTTTGAGGACAAAGGGTTCTGCTTTGTTTATCTCACACACCACAGGTCTCATGGTGAAAAGACGATCCACAGTAGTTTTTTTGTTTCTTTCACAGTCCTTGTATTACTCAGCCCTGCAGAAACAGTGACTCATATTTGCCACATAAAAATAAATAAAAATCTTACTACTATTTTCAACAGGATTTGGTGAGCACACTCCCTCTGCCTCAGACTCAGCTCTTAACACTAGAGGCCTCTGTGTGTGCGGGACAATGTGGTAACAGTGATACCACAATGAGATACACAACGAGAATGTGTATGCATCAGTTTGACCATGTTACAACTTTGTTTCCTCATCAAAAACAGACCTGGGGTTGTTTTTAGCTTCATTCACACTAATATCTGGCCAAACTTCTGTAACTTCTGGCCAAACACTTCCCACACGCCCCTGCTGTCTAAGCTTGGACCAAAGCCTATCCCCTTTACAGTGAGGGAGCTGGACATTTAACTGATCTTCCTTGTGACACATGATTTAGACCGTTTAATATTTAGTGGTGATGATCCAGAACACTCGACTCAACATTTAACAACATTCATGGACATTCATCATCTTTAATGGACATTGGTCATCTGCCCCTTATGAACCAATGGCTCTATGTGTTTTTATAATTACATTTCTTTGGTTCAGTGGTTTTGATAAGTCCTTCAAGATAACTGCCGCTGGGATTTAGGGCTATAGAAGAGTACATTGAATTGTATTGATTTTAAATAATAATAATGCATTGGTTTTATATAGCGCTTTTTTTGGACACTCAAAGACGCTTCACATGTCATTATTCTTTCAATCCATACACGGTCGTGATAAACTACTACTGTAGGCACAGCTGCCTTGGGGCACACTGACAGAAGCGAGGCAACCAGTATGTGCCATCGGCCCCTCCGACCACCACCAACCATTCACACACACCTGACTCATTCTAGGCAATGGGGGTAAAGTGTCTTGCCTAAGGACACAACGGCAGTTTGGCACTTTACAGCTGCAGCCGCCAAGGACACAACGACAGTGGGAATCGATGGTGAAAGTCAGGCTCGAACCCACGGCCCTCTGGCTCAAAGGCCAATGCTCTACCAACTGAGCTACTGTCGCCCTATTTTAAAATTGATTTCCATCCACAAGCTATCAAAGTGTCATCAAGAAAATCACTTCACTTTCACTGTGGTTAATATGGTTAATTACCGCATAAACTGTATTTGATTGTTGTGTACCTGACTCGTACAAATAAACTTCTATTATGTATTATTTGAGAAAACTTGGTGCTGACCCGCTGAGTATGTGTATCCTCTCGGTGTTGTACTTCAGGGGAGTGAGTTCGGCTCTGAGCACTTGCAGAGCCTCCAGAACTTTCCCGTCCTCCAGGAACTCCAAGTATTTTTGCTGCAGCAACAGGAACTTCATCCTCTGCAAATGCACAGGGTTTGACTTTAACATCCAAAAAGCACGAAGCTTGACTACAGCACAAACCGCTGGGCTGTATCAGTCTTCAGCAGATCAAGGAGCGGACTTGGTGGGATGTGGAGGAGCATCTAGTAATCTAACATATTGCTAGATGCCATATGACTTCTTAGTATATGAAGTAATATGGTTATAGTGGCAAATAAAAACAGCTCAAACACCCAATCTAGCTGATGAATTTTAATGCCTCTCCTCGTCTGCTCCCAGTCATGATTGGACTGGGCGGTTACATGCAGCAGACATTAGACTAGAAACAGACCAGTTGTGTGAATCACATCCAATAGGCCTTTCAGAGTAAAGTATATTTGACCTTGGTTCAGCTGTACGGTGACTATACTTCATACAGTTTCCTTCCTTCTACATGTTTCAACTCACCACAATAGCGCTGGGAGAATGCATCAGTGCTTTCAACTCGTTTAAGTCACTCTCGGCCTAAAGAAAATATATAATTATCATTAGAATATATACGTTGCATTGGTGGAGAAACTGACAGGTAACCAGAAATAGTCATTCCAGAAATGTTATAGTGCTGAGAAATAATTTGAGACAAAGAGACATGGTTAGAGACATGGTTGTAATTAACTGCTTTGTTTTAACAAAAATAACTGTAAAAACACACATTTCCAACTGACGCACCTGTCTGGTACAAGGTGGGACATGAACGTCTAAAAATAATACTACATGACTTTGCCCCGACGGAGCAAGGGTAGTTTCCTCCATCTGGTGATGATGTGATTTGCTTCACTCAAACCTTATTTCCAAATCTGCTTGCTCAGGGTTTAAAGCCGAGGTACCAACTTTTCCTTCTCTAACTCTCTAAACTGTCTAGCACGTGTATTGTAAAGTGAAGTTTGTGACTTGATCTAATGTAAAACGTTTGAATTATTGCTTTAGAAGAGCCATGCGAGTCACTATGAAAGCTTTGAGAGCTGGTGATGTAGGTGTGGTCGACCTTGGTTCACTTTTGTGTGAAACAGATATTCTATGATTGAGCAAAAAACATTCATGCGTGTGAATGAGGCACCAAAGGGTTTACCACAAGTCACTAATTCTTGCTGTTTTGCCGGGAATCTTCCATTCTTAGATACTTATCTATCATCATGCATCCATCCATCTACTTTTGAAGAGCCTTCCAGGAGAAGCAATAACATCTCCATGGTTTGCATAGTGGACCTTTAAGTCTGTGAAATGAACGCCTTCACTTGCTCTATGTGTGCATTCCTCAAAGGCGAAATACCTCCCCTTTCAAATACTCTTTTCAACTTTCACAACAAAATGCTTTGTTTCTTTCTCAATCCTCTGCATTATGTTCTTCTTTCCTCACTGTGTTTTTACAGGAAGGATTCAGGATTTTGAACACAGACTTTCTTTTGTTTAAATGAGACAACAAACATACATTTTGAGTCTTCAGTCCTTGAGTATTAATGAGGGTAATACTTATCATTACAAATCTATCAGAATCTGGCTTCAGAGAACAATATGTGAAATAGTAATGACAAACGATCTGGAGGATAATTTTGAGTCTTTAGAAGAATAAAATGTTTAAAATCAGCAACAGGGGAGAGCTCACCTTGTCCCATTCTCCCTCCATGACGTGGCTCCTAAACTTAGTGGCAGATGCATGCTCCAGTCGGCAGCCGGACTCCTGCATCAGGAGGTCCACCGTCTGACTGCAAAAAGAACATTCAGTAAAAACTATCATTTTTTCAGTTGACTTGTAGTGTATTTGCTAAGTAGTGTGCAGTGTATTTGCTAAGGGCCATATTCAGCTCTGACTTTGCAATTAGCCTCAATAGCCTTTTAGTTTAAAGTCATAATTTTCTCAAAGGTCAACTCCAGTTTCACAGACAAAGTTGTAATTAGACGCTAATGAATGAGTGGGAGTCCAAGATTGAATTCGTTTAAATTTTAAGATTGCTGTAGACAACCACAACAAACTGGCTTAGAATAACAATTTAATTTTTTTTCATCTTTATATGAAAGTCCATCCACAACCTTTGACCATCTTCTGCAGACTCCGGCCACTTTGTATAATGTAATTTACCAGAGAGAAAACAGCAGCATTGCACAAAACTTTGGCACCACTTTTTTGCTGACAAAGTTAGATGTTTAATATTTGTTTTTTAAAGTCATATACAATCTGTGGTCGTCCTGGTTCAGAACGGTCATGACCCTGAATCTTTCTGCTTGGACACATTTAAATCATGGGTTTGTCATGTGTGTCGTTTTGATATGTTTCTCCAGATTGTAATGTCCAGGATTTTTTTCTATTATTCTAATTTGTATTATCCAATTATTTTTATTTTATTTTTATTTCAAACCAAAACAAAAACAATAATATCATGGATTAAAAAACGTACTTAGGCAACTTATATAGCAAAATATATAAACGTATGAACAAAGAGATAATTGATAATGTTTTATTTTTAATTCTTGAGCCTGTAATTGTCCATGATGTTGTCCAAAATGAGCAAATTTTTGACTATTTTTCTGCTGCTGTTATACTACAAACTACATCCATTACCTTTAATAGGTGCATTTCACTTCAACCAATTTACGGAATGACTCTAAAGTGCTACATGATTACAGGGCCGGATGTGACCCAGAAAGGGGAGTGTAATTAGCACGCTAGCTTTCTGTTTAGCTTTGATATAAACACTTGACTCAAAGTAATGCGCTGGGGTTTAAAACAGGAACGGGGAGTGCCAATGTATCAGTTATAACGTTAAGTCTATTGTTCCCCGAGAATGACATCACGATGAACGTTCACAAAAACATGTCTCTATCTAATTATACGCTTTTGTAATGTTTAGGGTTTGGCTTCCAAGTTACACAGGTTTTTCCCCCGAGTTTCAACGTGTGACGTGTGTATCACAGATAAGGAACGATAACTGAGGGTTGTACTTATTGATTATTTTGATAATAGATTACTTGGGAAATTATTATTTTGATTAATTGATTAGTTTATATACCGAATGGACAGTACATGTAGTTTGTATAGTGTTTAGTTGTTATACATGGGATTCTTTGATTAAAAAAACGTGTTACTTGAAAAAAAAAAAGAAAAAAAAAAAGAAAGAAATGAAAAGTGTGACAAAATAAAGAAAGATTGTTGTGCATATTATGTTGTGAAAGCAGGAGAATAATGATAAGTGTCCAAAATTAAGATGGCCTTTTTAGTTCACCAGGCTTGATGAAGGAATTGTTTGAGCATGGTTAAAGCTGGGGTGCTTAACTTTCAAACGACACATCATGGAATGACAAATGGCTAAATGACAAATGACCATCTCACCAGCTACATTAGCACCATCAACAGTATTTTGTGACACAATCCAAAACAGGATGATTGTCTTTTATACAAATAAAGTTGGAAGTTTTCAAAGACTTTGGATTAGCAAATAAAATTATCCAGAGCGCTGCGTGGGCCTTAGTTTTTAGACTCACCTGCAGTAATGGCTCTATAGATTTGAAGGGCTATGTGAGATGTGAAAACGGAACAAAAAAAGCTCAACTCAAATGTTCTCTTTAAACAAATGCAATCATCATTTACAGACTAGAACTCTAGACCTTTGTTGCTTGATAATTAGTAAGACACGTTTTAATTTGTTGCTTTACTTAGCAAAATAACACAAATATAGAACAAGTTTCCTGGAATTTTAAGGGAAGAGTTTATAATGACTTTTTCTCTGAACAATGTAATAATTACATATTCAAAACTATTTTTCATTCAACTGGAGTTTCCTAGTTTTAACAGCTTATCCTGGTACCATGCTCCTTTAGTCAATATGCAGTTGTCTTGTTGAGCTAAACCCTAAACTTAGCAACAGCACTTCGCTGAACATTGATCGTGTTTACATATCAGTAGTGATTAAACAGTTGTGCAGTGAATGAGTTCGTTCATCAATATTGAGCGACAGCAGCTCAAGTGTGATACAAGATGATTATAATTCATGTGACAGCTGCTGAGGTAGGATCAAATGCGATAACAAGACTAAACCTCTCATCAAAAGACCTGTCACAAAGACAACTGCATAATTAACAATTATCAAAATAAAAATAAAACAAATTCAGAATTTAACTTCTAGTAACAATAAATCTCATTGTATAATGCAGAGGGTAATAGTGGATTAGCTATGTACTAGACTGCTGGGTATTTAACACAATAACACTGGTAATTCTTGCCAGTACGCAACTATAAATTCATCAGAGGGAGAGTGGCGAGTTTTATGCAGTGTTTTCACAGAAAGACAGAACAATAATATCTCCATGGAGAATAGAGTTCAAATCCTCCCATTAAAACTACACAACGCACCTGCATTAACCATACCTTTTGTATTACAGACAATAAGTGGCATGTTATGTTTATCAATCAAATATAAAACGGCAAACGTTTTAGAACTATTCATATGAGGATGGCCTCTATCTCATTACAGTAGGACAACCACTCACTCACTCACTGTGTCCCAATGTCAACCCAATGACCCCAGGCCCCTTCCCCACGTTGGGTACGTAGGGGAAGGGGGGGGGACTTACTTGAGCCCCATGTCATGTAGATGTTGTCCGATGAGCCTGATCACGTCCTCCTCACATTGCGAGAGACGCTTCTTCTTCTTCCCCGTCGCGCACACGTCGAGTTGCGGACTGCCGCAGCCGCTCTCGCTCGTGTCCTCCGCTACGGCCACTCCATTGTTATTGTTGCGCACGGAGTTGTTGGCACTGTTGTTGTTGGAGGCGACGGGGGAAGACGGGAGCCCATTGGACACCTCCTCTGCCGCCGCTGTGGTCTCTCCGTTCTGGGCTCCGTTGCGACATGACAGCTCGCTCGGCCGTTCCTGACTCGCTCCGTTTGCCTGCATCTTTGTTTTGCTCGCGGGACACTGAACGCTTCGGGCCCGACTCGCTGACCCAGATGCAGCCGATAGACAGCCTCTACTGCGGCCAAGCGCGTCCGTGTCGTTGTACCCCGTGTTTACGCCGAAACCCGGGTTGTTTATTCCGAAGACCGCATTTTGTGGCGTTTGTGTCGGATGGGAGCAGGCTCAGTTCGCTGTCAGACGCGGAGGTTCGCGTTGTTATTGTTGTTGTTGCGCAGACAGACAGCTGCAGCCGTGTGCTCGCGGACATACGCACTGACGTCAGCGGAAATTCCTTCACGTTTTCTGTCGAGACGCTGCGTCACCTCCAGGGGGCGCACGTGGACCGTGGTTTAAATATGTTGTACTCATGGATCTATGATTGTGATCCATGAAAGTTACTATTAAAGCTGCAGCACCTAACTTTAAAACCACAATACATTTACATAGTATATGGAAGCTTGTGACATTCACTAGAATGTTTTTTTTTTTCTGTTTTTACAAGTTGGTATTTGATCTACACATGTATTGAAAACCACCATTTTTAGTCATGACAGCTTTTATCATTAAAATCAGAACACAACCTTTCCTGTGAATGTCACAACCCTCTGAATATTATGTTAAATTCATATTTGCATTATATTATTGCACATCCTAAATCCCTTCTTGCTGATGTACAATTAAAACTACAAAGTATCTACAAAGTCATTAAACTGTAATAATGTGAAATACTGTAATTACTGTAACGTGTGGCTAATGTGAGTCATCTTACAGGTACATAAATACACCAGTCATGTCAAATTTACACCAAAAATTATCTGTAATCAAATGTATTCACCATACCGCCAATGGGAAAGACTCAGCTCCATAACTTAAAAGATTATTTCATAACTTACAAAATATTTTAATTGACATAAACAACATAATTCAGTGCTTAAAATAAGTAACAGAATCTGAAAGTTACATCGCAATTTCCAAGTAAAAGGAAAAACCACATCAGCAGTAATAAACTCCATACACAGATTTGAAGATTCATAAGTTTTAATTATCTCACCTTAAGAGGACATACAGTGTAAGTTAAATGAAAAGGGCACATAAAGTGAGAATCTTTCTAACTTAAAAGAGCTCCTTCAATCCATCCTTTCAAAACTCCAAAAAGAAACCTGAATAATACAAACTATCAATTACAGCCACGGGACCACCATGTAGTTCCGCTCTTTCACCATTGTCGTTGCTATAGACCCTTTTAGTGCCAAAAACAGTCACCGCTGTCAGGTTTAAAGAACAGTATGCAACATTCTATGGTCAACACAATGCCACATGGTGAAACATTCCAGTCAAAGCAATACCACATTCATGAAGACAAACAGGAGGCACACAGACTGCAAAAAGATAAAACAATGGAATAAAATAAAAAATGGTACTAAAGCAGTTTTTTCACACGCATGTAGGATTTGGCCTTTGTCACATCTTTAGATTAGCTCATGAAATTATTATCAATAAGATGAAAACAGCATATTGTGGTCTAATTTCTTCACATTTTACTTTCAAAAAGGATTTTTTTGTTGGGATAAATTCAAGTCTTTTTCTATGTAAATGTTGCAAAACCGTTTTAGCTGACTATGTAAACAAACATCAAACCACAGCGCCCCTTGGTCTGACAACCAGACTATAAATTAAGTTGGTTTGATAGAGCTAAAGTTTTATCCGAAACATATTACATCACACTAAAGTGGTCTATAGGCCGATCACACATCCCTTAAAACCCCGGGAAAACAAAACAAATAAAATCAGATAGTTTTTATTTAAAAGTGCTATTTTGTCCCAAGCCTGAGATTTCTTAAAGTAAAACAACAGTAAACAGCTATGGTCCGCGCTTTGGCATTGAAGCCTGTATCACCATTATTATTATTATTATTACTATTATAATTATTTATCATTGGCACTTTTCACACATTTTCATTGTGTAAGAAAAACAAAACATAATTTTTTCATAATAAATACATCTTCGGCAACCATTAGCACTCAGCATATATACATATCCTTTTCCTTTCCATAATTACAACAAAATAACATTATAAAAATACAGTTTAAAGGGGAAGAGATGGTTCAGATGGAGGGAGAGATCTATTGCACTTATCCCATTTCATATACATGACAATGGGCTTTATAATCGGCACTGAGACTTCCATGGGTATTCATCATTCTTCGAAGTACTATAAATCTTTTATATAATATTGCTGACAGTTGCAAACTAATTGTAGAGGTACAAGGAGTCCAATGTAACTTTTCTGTTTGAGTATTTACAGTAGAAACCAGAAGTTTTTGTTGTACATAAATGATTTCTATGGCCATACATTTTTCTGACTTTGAAACTAAACCTCTGTATTATTTATACTTTCTACAGACAGTGAAAAACATGTTTTACACAAACTTCTGATTTCTGCTGTATATAAGTCCATTTGTCTTTTTCTATAAATATTATGGTAAATGTGAAATACAATGCCTTTAGACTGACTGAAGAATTAATTTGGGCATTCAGCATTGACTTTGAAAACCTTGGAGCTTAAGAACGTTTTTTATTCTAAATAGACAAGTTTAATATTACCCGGTCAGAAATGGGTAGTACTTACATTCACTTACTGGCAATCTCACGTTTACGCAAGTCACATACAAATCATCTTTTTTATTTTTCCTGATGTGAATAATTATAATAGCTTCAACATTTGCACCGATTAAAACCTGTAGTTGTAATGTTGACGTGTGTTTCAAACGTAATACACACATCACATACATACATTACAAATAAAGTATAAGTTGTGGGTTTATCCAATGATTGAACTCCTTATTCTTGCACTTCTACTTGAGCAATATCATTTATAGAATACCAATACTCCTACTCAAGTGCCCACTACTATGGCTTTACATTTTTAGGCGATTTTCGAATTAATCAAATTTTAAATTTTTGGCGGAGTAATAGCAAAACGTTTATGATTGAAGATAATCTCGGCTCTTGATAGTCACTTCAACTTGTCCATCATAATATATTCATGAACTCCTCTCTGTGCTACAGTCTCATACATTCATTCACACAGTAATCATGTGTGTCCATAACGCCTCCGTGTTCTGGTCTGAACCCAAATCAGCAAAACAAGCTGAAACTTCTCGTGTTAGAGTTCCACCCACACACAGAGGCTGTCCACTGCAATTCAAACAGCCTTTAAACCAACTTTCTCATTGGTATTTGTGGAAAGATAGACCCAAATAGACAGACATGTTTGATAGGAAGTAAGATTAGAACCACTAATGTTCTTTGCGATATACAATAAACTGATGGCATAATAGCACTTTATTATCTTCTTTGAGGATGAGTAACAGCATTACGTTCTGAACCTTTGGGGAAATATAGAATTTCTTTTAGCCAGGTCTTGTTTCATGTGAATTGGCCTAGGAAATAGAGACATTAAACATTAACCAGGTTGAATCAGTCTTCAACCAAATAACACAAAGAGCAATCATTTTTTAAAGCTGTGCAATTAACAAACATATCTTATAATGGGGCTATCGTACCACAAACAAGGAAAAAAACAACAGCACATTACTGTCATTTTTAAAGTAGGGATGCAACAATTCATAAAATATTTGACTCCAGCCCTAATGCATTTGTCATTTAAAATAGACTACTGCTCCATGAGTCATAAAATCTCTTTATCAAAACACAACGGAGCTGCAATTAACTTGTTTCAGCCCAAACTTAAGGTGAACTAATTTCTTAAAACCTCTGTGCATGTTTCACCATTTCTGCTGGTCCTCCTTTAGAGTAATTCGAGTAAAAATGTCTGCCCATGTCTTGCAAATGGTTAAGGAAACAGTGGTTGAAGACATTGTGTCGTCAATTATTTGTATGAAAAGGTTTATCTTTGGGTGGGCTGGTGCAGTCCTTAGCTGTCCACCACCTGATGGGGCAAAGTGACAGATGAGCCGTTAATGAAGGAGCCCTGTTTGTCCCGCCCCTTTAAGAAGTATGTGAGCAGTTCGCCTTTGCCTTTTACAAAAATCGGTCCCCGTCGCACAAAGCGGAAGCCGTACTCTTTCAAGATGTTGTAGCAGTCTTCCACCACCTGAAACGTTAGAGAGGAGATTATTTTGTGACATGTTGAAGATTGTTCATTTCCTTTCATTTCATTTTTAAGCCCTTTATTGTCCATTTCTGGGTCAGGGGGGTGGCAATGAGAGCTGCCACCCAATGCTCATAGCACCATTCCCTCGCTGATCCTCTGCAGGGGGTGAGTCCACAGGAAGATGGCTGCTCTGTCAGTGGTGAGGCAGCCTTGGTCTTTCAGTGGGGGCTTCAGGCAACGTGGGGTTAAGTGTCTTGCCCACGGACACAACAACAGTAGACATCAGTGGGATCAGTTGGAGTAGGTCCCATGGTAGGAATCGAACTCACGACCTCCAGGCTCAAAGGCCACTGCTCTCCTCTCCTGAGAGAATATCTTTTGTCTCTTGCAATCCTTTAAGAAAGATTCCCATCTTTGGGCTGAGGGCTGACCAAGGGAGGTCATCTCTGCTTACCTTTTCAGTCTAAAGTTGCATTTTTTGAATTGACATTTATTCAACCAGGATCATCACATTGAGACTTCCGAATATCTTTTTCAGGAGTCCCCTGGCTCCAAAGAGGAGGAGCATAATAGTACATGTATTAAGTAAGAGGGGGAAAATAAAAAGCCTGGAGGAAACCTACATGGACAGAAAGACCCTGTACTACAAATCAAACCAGAGCCTTTTTGCTGAGAAGCAAGAGCTCTAACCACTTAGCTACGTGATGTAAAGCTGTGACAGTGGCACTGGACAAACCTCCATCAAAAACTGTGGATCTCCACACATTAAATCTCGTTGCACAGTAAGAGTTTGGGAAACAATTGGGATGTTCTACTAGACACCAATTACATCTTTGAAGAGAGAGGCTGGGAGTTCCCACTGGTCTCAAACAGATCAGAGTAACGTGTCAAATAATGTGTCCGATTCACTTTTTATTTACATATAAGCATATACAGTGAGAGTAAAAAGTATTTGATCCCTTGCTGAATTTGTTGGTTTGCCCACTAATAAAGACATGATCATTCTATACTTTTAATGGTAGATGTATGCTAACATGGAGAGACAGAATATCAAAACGAAAATCCAGAAAATAACTTTCAAGAATATATTTTAATTAATTTGTGTTTCATTGAGGGAAATAAGTATTTGATCCCTCTAGACAAAAGCAGTTAATACTTGATGGCAAAGCCTTTGTTTGCAAGCACAGCGGTCAGACGTTTGTGGTAGTTAACCACAAGGTTAGCACACATATCAGGGGGAATATTGGCCCACTCTTCTTTGCAGATCCTCTCGAAATCATTCAGGTTGGTGGGCTGTCGCCTGGCAACTCGGACCTTCAGCTCCCTCCATAGATTTTCAATAGGATTGAGGTCCGGAGACTGGCTGGGCCACTCCATGACCTTAATATGGTTCTTCTTGAGCCACTCCTTTGTTGCCTTTGCTGTATGCTTTGGATCGTTGTCATGTTGGAAGACCCAACCACGGCCCATTTTCAGCTTCCTGGCAGAGGGGAGGAGGTTGTCCCTCAAGACTGCACGGTACATGGCTCCATCCATCTTCCCACTGATGCGATGTAGTAGCCCTGTGTCCTTGGCAGAGAAACACCCCCAAAACATAATGTTTCCACCTCCATGCTTGATGGTGGGAACAGTGTTCTTTGGGTCATAGGCAGCATTTTTCTTTCTCCACACACGACGTGTAGAGTTTAGGCCAAATAGTTCAATTTTGGTCTCGTCTGACCATAGAACCTTCTCCCAATCACTTTGTGCATCTTTGAGGTGATCATTGGCATACTTTAGGCGGGCCTCCACATGTGCCTTCTTAAGCAGGGGTACCTTTCGGGCACTGCAGGATTTTAACCCATTCCGTCGCAAAGTGTTGCCAACTGTTTTCGGTGACTGTGGTCCCAGCTGCCTTGAGGTCATTCACTAACTCCTGCTGAGTGGTTGCAGGACGATTTCTCACAATTCTCATGATCATTGTAACCCCACGAGGTGAAATCTTCTGTTGAGCACCAGATCGAGGTCTGTTGATAGTCATTTTATACTTTTTAAATGTTCTAACAGTTGCACCAATGGTTGTTACTTCCAGGGACGTGCGGTGAGGTTTGTGATTGGGGAGGCACTGACTTTAAAAGTCAGATTTACAATCATTATTCAAATAAAATAGCATTTAATCACCAATGCAATGACATCCACAAACTTTATATACTGTAAAGATAAGAGAACCAGCTTCTTTTAATAATCTCACAACAAATCTAGCTGCTGACTCTGCTCCGCATCAAACAACATCTTTAAGAAGCGCAGGTGCGAGAGACGCGAGGAGAGAGAGACGCGAGGAGAGAGGAGCAGAGAGAGACAGAGAGGAGCAGAGAGACGGAGACGCGAGGAGCAGAGAGAGACGGAGACGCGAGGAGAGAGAGACGCGAGGAGAGAGAGACGCGAGGAACATAAACAATAATTTAAACAAGTTGCAGAACTCTTGAGCAGTGTTTGAATCAGTGTTTTTCGGAAAAGCACTACTTTGCCGGTATCTGTCAATGTTCAACATAAAACACAGATTAACAAACTCCTCCCCCGCAGCCGGACTAACCTCGTAAGTCCAGTGGTGGTCTCCCAGTCTATATTAATTCTTTCTTTGTTTGAAAGTCCAATTGAGAAAAAAAATCTTCATTCAAATCATCCATTTTCCAGCAAAAGAAATAGCATTTTGGGCTGATTGTTTGTTAGCAACTCTGGTATGAACTTTATGCTCACTATCACCCCTAGCGGTGAGGCACAGATACCGCCTGCCTCACGCCAAGCTTTTTCCTTGTGTGTTCATCTACGATCAAAAGACTTAAACTAAATATAAATTGTACACACATACGTGCAATACACTACTAAACACTAAGAGGAGTTTAAAAAATGTTTTTAAAGCAGGATATTTGAAACAAACGGTGATATATCAACTGCCCGAGCTGAGTGCACTCAGACACACACACACACACTGTGAGGGAGCGGTCTGGGGTGAGGCACGCAGGAGCGCTGCCTCACCTCGTCTCTTTGAATAGGAATAACGGGATTTCGGCGATTTTGACTTCAGAAATGATCAAAACTGATGGGAACCGTGCCGAATATACATTAAAAGCATAGGACAGTGGATATAAATTATATATTTAAACTAAAATAATTATTAGTTTCCAATAATGGCAGGAGAGGCTCTGCCTCCCCTGCCTCCCCTGACTGCACGTCCCTGGTTACTTCTATTCCCAGCATCTTGCTAATGTTTTTGTAGCCCATTCCAGATTTGTGGAGGTCAATAATCCTGTCTCTGAGGTCCTGAGAGAATTCCTTTGTCCTACCCATGCTGGAGAGGTTGGAACCGTCTGAGTGATTAGTTGGAACAGTTGTCCAACAGGTGATTAGTTGGAACAGTTGTCTTCATCTCAGTCTTAAATTCCCAAGTTGATTGGGAGTGTCTAGCTGCTCTGTGAAAGCCAGAATTAGGAGGATCAAATACTTTTTTCCCTCAATGAAATACAAATGAATTGAAATATATTCCTTAAAGTTATTTTCTGGATTTTCTTTTTGATATTCTATCTCACCATGTTTAAATGCATCTACCATTAAAAGTATAGAATGATCATGTCTTTATTAGTGGGCAAACCAACAAAATCAGCAAGGGATCAAATACTTTTTACTCTCACTGTATGTAGTATTCTCAGAGGACACCATTATTCTCTTCTTACTCACACAGAAAACTGATTAATGTATAAAGTTGAGATTCTACACATGGTTGAGTGGTGCAAGAACCACAAACTGATCCTACTGTATCAATACTGAAGAGATGATTCTGGATACAAAAGAAGTGGGAGATTATTTATTTGGATCTCCATTAAAGATCAAGAGATAGAGCAGGTCACAACATAAAAATACCTTTGGATATACTTTGACCCACAGTTTAATTGGGCTGAACATCGCCACCTTGTTTGTGCCAAAGTAAACCAGTCCTTACTTTGTTTGAGAAGACTTCATGGACCTGATAAAAATGTAATCCTCCTTTTCTGACTGTTGCTGCTTTATAGCTGCTCTCATACACTTTTCCATAAACTTTACAAACAACAGCTGCTGCAGTTTTGAGCTCACGTTAATCACGCAATAAAAAAATGTACATAGTTGAAATGGGTTTGCCTTAACAGTGTTATTAACAAGTTAAACTGACAGCACTAATAATAACATCTATGTTGTATTTATTCATAATTCTATGCATGTGCTGAGCAGGTCCATGAGTACTGCATTCACTGTCACTAATTTAGTTATGGGTGCATTGTTTATATGAGTATATGAATGTTTTAGCTTGGCATGTTTTGTCATTTCAGCCGGATGGAAAGTGGTTAAGACTAATGGCTGATACATTTTTGCAGTATGTCAGTCTTCACTTTAATCCCATACATAATTTGCACTTTTCCCTTTTCTGCTTTTTCTCTAATCAAATTATGAGTAAAAAGCAAACCTGTATGTTTCCCATGACTCCTGTTGACTCCATTCGACTGGCCACGTTAACAGTGTTTCCCCAGATGTCAAAGTGAGGTTTACGGGCGCCAATCACTCCTGCCAGCACGCCACCTTTATTTAGACCTAAGGGAGGTATTAAATATAACATGCATGTCAAATACAGGTCAATAATGAATACTTCAAATGGAATAAACTTCTATACACACAACTATAGAAGACAATACCGCATTTATAGTCACAGAAGGTCAAAGCTGCATTGATAAGAGAAGACAAAGAAGTGCAATTCCAATGGATTTCTGATAATATAAGATCTCTGAACATTATAAAGCGTTTTGAGCGACCTTGGTCTGTAAAATGCGCTTTTTAAATACAAATTTCTTACTTGATAGCACTATTTCTTTTCATCTCTAAGTGTTCATAAATGCAATGATTATTGTCAAGTATACACAATTATGCATCTTTATCTGTCTCATGGCACACATAATTGAAAGCTATAATAAATATTTATTTGCACTTTTTAAGTTACACTATAGTTTGGGTGGAGATCAGTACCTATTCGAAGCATGAAGTTGTTGAAGGACTGGTAGTTGATGTTCATGAGAGTGACTTTCATGGCTAAAGCGAAGTCTGCCAGGTCAGCCAAATGCTGCCAGCGTTCGCGGTCCGACAAATCCTCCTTCTGCTCAAAAAAGCCAAGAAAGTACAACAACAGATCACGGCTTCTAAAAACGCTTCAGAAAAATAAACTAGTCAGACCTTGACACAGGAGTATCCATTGGAGACGTCTGGTGTGACCCCAGACGCTGCCATGTACGTGCTGCCGATAGTCTTGATTTTGGTGATGCAACGAAACTGAGGCTCATCCAGCAACTGAAAAATACAAGCAATTAATTCAATTACCACTGTTCAAACAGTGGGTGGGGACAACTGGAATATTTTGAACACCACAACTGACAACTGGTGGGTCGAGCTGAATAACGAATTGTTTCTGGATTCAGAAAATAATTAAACTAACTTTGGCACCAAAATGAGAAGTTTAGAGTTTAAACATCTATATCACATGTAATATAATCTGTTATGAATCATTCTTATATGCTAAAACAATTTTCATTGCAAATTCAAAATGGATAAAATGAACAGTACACTGTCAAAGTCAGAGATGATTTCATTGAGGAAGCGCAGGCACTCGATGCCTCCGTTGTTGATGCTTTCCTCCGTGTAAAAGTCAGAGAAGTTTGGTATTGAGGCGAACATGACTCCGATCTCATCGTATGACTGACTGTACAGCTCCTGTAAGAAGAAAACAACAAATATTTCTGCAAGACCCCACGTGTTCGCAACAATGTCAGGCTAAACCAATCAATTAATCAAAATGCATGTTTTCACGCTTTGTCTGATTTGAGTTAGCTGATAAATAGGGTCTTTTAACATAATACCATTATGGCACAAAGTGCAATCACAAAAGGCACTAGAAGTTGTCAAAAGTATCAATAATCAGATATTGATGTAAATGTTTTTATCAATGTGTTTATGTAGGCAATGTTATTTTTTAATTATACTTTGTATATCGTCTCTGTGCCACACTTTAAAATGGTGTGTTAAATGTGCTTCATAAATAAAGTGGATTGCATATTTACATTGAAACTAATAGGAATTAAAGAGACATTTCCAGTTTTAATAAGATAATAAGATTGATGTGTAGCAATGTGTGTGTTTTACTATGTTTTGGGTATTGCTTATTGTCCAAAATGGAATATTCTAAAATGATCACCACAGTATTGAAATCAATATCATTTTCACAGAAGCTCATTAGTGCTCAGCAATCTTCATAGATGCAGTCATTGTTACTTATGAGCATAGACGGTATATAAATGGACGAAGCATGGTCTATTCTCCACATAAAAAGTTACAAAATTTCAGTATTGAGCTGGCCATGAGCTGCCGCGGGTGGCCCCTACCGCATGAAAACAAAAAACAAAAGAACATGCACCAAACAGTCGTGCAGGGATGACACACAACTGGAGTTGCAGTTGTGCTGTCGTCATGTGATAATGCTGCATCTGCGGCACAACAAAATGCTGGAATTTTGTGGAAACTTAAAAATCCACAACTTAGCAGACATACATTTAGAAGTTGCTGTTGAGCCAAGAGCTTGAACCAGGCTCAAAACAAGTTTTTGACTCATGGAAAGTTGTCATAGTGTGTTTCTGCTTCTGCTGGCCAAAATGATGTGCGCTGACATGCTTGCAATACCACCCCGGGCCGATGGGGGTGGACCCGGAATAAGAATTTCTTACCTCTCGAAAACACCTTTACAGGATGGTCCAAAAGTTGGCTCTTGGCCCAAAGCTCCGTTCCACATGTGTGTCAATGCTGAGGGGAGTGAATTTTTTTGGACCAGTCTAGTTTACTCGCAGTGAATTTTTAAAGTCGCTTGTTTAAATGAATGGGGCTCGTGCCGGCTGACTCATGCGCAGATGCATTTTTTCTCATTTTCCAGCCCCCACGGCAATTTTGAATCACTCCATGGAAGCCCAATTTTTGGCCCATTAGTTAGAACGGCAGAGATAGGCATGACTACGTCCGTTAATATATACAGTCTATGGTCCCGGCTCGAAAGTGGCCAATATGACGTGCGCTGACATGCTTGCAATACCACCCCGGGCCAATGGGGGTGGACCCAGAATAAGAATTGTTCAGCGCTAACATATAGCATTAGCTGACCTCTCGAAAACGTCTTTACAGGATGGTCCAAAAGTCGGCTCTAGGCCCAAAGCTACGGTCCACCTGTGTGTCAATGCTGAGGGGAGTGAATTCTTTGGACAAGTCTAGTTTAGTCACGGTGAAAGTTTTGAAGGCACTTGTTAAATGGATGGGGCTTGTGCCGGCTGACGCATGTGCAGATGCGTTTTTTTCACATTATCCAGCTCCCGTGGCCACTGCCCATAGACCGCGGAAGTTGTGGCACATTAGTTAGAACGGCGGAGATAGGCGTGACTACGTCCGTTATTATTTACAGTCTATGTTCTCACCTCGTCCCTCTTCTTGGACCCGAGGAAGTGCCGTGCCACATGTTCTGGTAACATGTTTGTGACGAGAGCCTCGTTCCAGCGCCTCATCTCGTACACCTTCTCCTTCTGCTCGTGAACCTCAATCTTCCACAAGAACAGCGTTCGCGCCAATTTCTCCACCTGCGCAGCCACAAGGAGGATGTTCAACTGTTTCAATACACCTCGGGCATACAGATTGATCCCACTTTATGAATCCTAAGTAACACAGGAGTAAACCCCAACATCACAACCTCAACAGTAATCACTGTAAACTTACGTGTCTAGAGAAATAGTAGAAGCTGACCATCATAATGAAAATCATAATGGTCATTGTGAATTTGGAAGGAACCAAATGTGGGCTGCAACAAGAAAAAGATAATCAGAGTTGAATTAATTGAAGTTTATATTACCATCTCATTGTCCCTCTAATTTATTTGTGATTTAAGCACATTATCCAGGTTAGCTTTAAAAAGTTCAATGTTAAGTAAAGGTAAAGACAGTTATAAGAAAATGCAATGCTGCCAAAGTGGATAAACTAACACAAAACTTGTAAACAATTTAATGGTTACTGAATTATAAAATGTATTACTCTACAGACACTGAAGCTTCTTCACAATTGCAAATAACAGCTATTAAGCAATTCACTGGTATAATCCAAACCAGGACAACTAAACACCAAATCAACTTTTCTTTTAAATCATAAACTGCATACATATGTTTCTTATAGTGCTCTCTAATATTAATTAATTAGGCCCGAGCCCCGAACGGGGAAAGGGCCTATTGTTTTTGCTCTAGAGATGTCAAATTCTGCACTTTGAACCTTAATTTGACCTCCCTGAACATGCATGAAAAGTTGTTAAATTATGCCCAAAAATCAGACCTGGTATTGATATTTTGGTGTATTGATATTTTGGTGTTTATTTTTATGGAACTCAAAAAATGCCAGAACAGCGCCACCTACAACAGCCAAAATAATACCCCTTTGGGAGTTTCGGAGATCAAGTTTGTCGTAGAGCCATGAAATTTGGTACACATGTTCCTCAAGTCAAGACATGAAAGAAAGGTTATTATGGCCCCGCCCCCTGACAAACAGGAAGCCCATAAATTTCATTGGAAAATGGAAAAATGAAAAGCAATAAATTTCATACATGTCGGTTGGAAAGCGGCGACTCCTCGGCCGTTTCACATATTTGCCTAAAAATTTCTCCACATCATCTCAACACATTGACCATTAAAATGACTTCGGGGAATTTTGATCAGTGAAACGTTGTTTGTGCAGTGGAGCTGCACAAACAACTTTTTTTTGTCTTTTTTGACGAAAGAACAACAGCTCTCATTTGCACAGTATACAAAGTCTGATTTGTACTAAACTTGACTCTTGTTTTACTCCTGGGCCTGGTTCACCTGAAGGTGTGAAATACTAAATAGGCTCTTTAGTGCCCCCTACATACAACAAGCTTTACATAGGGAGCCAAACCAACGGCTCATATTCATTACAATTTCACGAACAATGTTCTAAGGCTACGGGAGCATATTATGGCGCGGCGGCGCCACCTCTGTCGCGCGGTGCAACTTTGAAAAAAATCATAAAATATTGCTTGACTTTAGTGGTTTTTATCTCAATCTGAGCACATTATAACTGTGAGAGAGACCAGAGAGAGATGAGGGAGAGAGACCAGAGAGACTTGAGAGAAGAGAAGGAAAGTATTTAGAACCTAATGATCAAACATCTGCAAAATAGACAAGGAAAAACAATCATTTTTTAATTTTTTTATTGTCTTTATTTGGAATATGCTGAAGTCCAGAGATGTTTGTCAAAGACAAGTGCATTAGTACAACATTTGTCTAAACCTCCAGTTTAGATCCACCACACGGATCTGAACCATCTTACAGCTCACACGCCAGAACAGATCCAAAGTCAAACGCACAAACTTTTTTTGTGTGTGTAGAATCTACAACATCTGCAGGTGTTTGTGTTGCCCACCTCAAAGCTCCAGAAGCACAAACAGCCGAACAAACTCTCCAGTACATTCTGCTGATTTTCATCTTCTTACTGCTTATTGTGGACGACCCAAACCCAACCTGGCAACCCTCATGGCGTTCCATTTGCTGACACTATCAGCAAATGGAACGCTCCAATTTAAGTTATTTATTAAACCAGGAACGACCCACTGAGACTTCAGCATCTCTTTTTCAGGGAAGTCCTGGCCCCTCAGAGAGGGGGGCTTTTGTCCATGTTTTTAGCGGTAGGAGAAACTTGAGCACCCGGAGGAAACCGGAGCACACGGAGGAAACCTACGCATGCACGGGGAGAACGTGAAAACTCTTCTCAGAAAAGCCCTGTTTCGAACAGGATTCGAACCTAGGACTTTCCTGAGAAACCGTGCCGCCTGTAGTGATGAACTTAAATTATTTTACACCTGGAGTTTGCAGCTGAGTCCTTGCGTTGAGTTTTCTCTCGTAATTCTTCAGCTCGCTGTTTCTCCTCTTGAACGGACTGGTCTTTCTGGAAGAACGTTTGGACCAGCGTTCTAACGTTCTCACCGGGCCCCCTGTTTTGCTTTATCCCCTTGAACGCCCTGGTCTTTCTGGGAGAACATTTGGACCCGCGTCAAAATGTTCTCACCGAGCTCCCTGCGCACCTGTCTATAGTGTGTGCAATCTGGCTGATTTTCAAACACACTTGTATTGCTAACTGTTGCCTCTACCTCTGTCTCTGTCTCGCGCTCTACCTTGCCTTCTACCTCTATTTCTACCTCAGTCTCCATCTCTGTCTCGCTCTCTATCTCGCTTTCTATCTCTGTCTCTAAATGGGCTGGCTGATTTAGTGGTACCTGTGGCCCAGTCTCTGTCTGATTATCAGACGTCATGAGTCCATCACCCTCCATCAGAGTCTCGAGCTGACGCTCTTTCTTTGGTAGAGGCTTCTGTCGTTGGGCCTCCTTCCACTGCTCCACTCGCTCCTGCACCAAATCCAATGAACTACTGGTCTCTACTACCTCTAACTGATCTTTTACCTCAATTACTTCCTGCTGTAGAGCCAAGATCTGTTCATCTCTTATCCTCAGTTGTGTCTCTGTCTCTTTCTGTCTTGCTACAGACCGAGAATCTTTCTCTGACAACTGGAGCTGCAGCTGTTGGTGGGCTTCCATCCACTGCTGCAATCGCTCCCTCTCCAAACCCAATGAATGATTCTTACTGGTCTCTACTGCCTAACTGATCTTTGACCTCAGTCACTTCCTTCTGCAGAGCCAAGATCTGTTCACCTCTCAATCTCAGTTCTATCTCACTCTCGCCCTCTGTCTCCTCTCCATCTGTATTACTACTGATGGACACGGTAGCTTTGACATCTGGCGCTGCAGCTGTCGGTGGGCTTGCTCCCACCTTGCCGATCGCTCGTTTGCGAATCCCAATGAATGCCTCAAACTGGTCTCAACTGCCTCTAACTGATCTTTGACCTCAGTTACTTCCTTCTGCAGTGCCTGGATTTGTTGATCTTCATCCTTCAGTTCTATCTCGCCCTCTGTCTCTTATACTACTGACTGATCCAGTGGTATCTGACCAGATTTCTTTGGTAACTGGAGCTGCTTCTGTCGTTGGGCTTTCTTCCACTGCTCCGATCGCTTCCTCGCCGATTGCAATGAACGCTTCTTACTGGTCTCAACTGCCTCTATCTGATCTTTTACCTCAGTTACTTCCTGCCGCAGTGCCGATATCCGTTCAGCTTTCATCCTCAGTTCTATCTCACTCTCGCCATCTGTCTCGCTCTCTGTCTCGCTTTCCATCTGTATTACGTATGACGGAGAAGGTTGGTTTGATAACTGAAACAGCAGCTGTCGGTGGGCTTGTTCCCATTTTGCTGATCGCTCGTTTGCCAAACCCAAGGATCGCCTCGAACTGGTGTCAACTGCCTCTAACTGATCTTTGACCTCAGTTACTTCCTGCTGCAGAGCCAAGATCTGTTCGTCTCTAAGCTTCAGTTCTTCTTGAGCTCGGTTAAGCTGCTCTTGAAGACTCTCCCACTCGGCTCTTTTCACTCTGGCCTCTTCTGTGTCGCTTTCTGTGTCGCTTTCTGTGTCGCTTTCTGTGTCGCTATCTGTGTCGCTTTCTGTGTCGCTTTCTGTGTCGCTTTCTGTGTCGCTTTCTGTGTCGCTTTCTGTGTCGCTTTCTGTGTCGCTTTCTGTGTCGCTTTCTGTGTCGCTTTCTGTGTCGCTCTTGGAAGTCCAAGGAAGGAGAACCCCCAATTTACCAAAGATAGATTCAGATCTCTCTGTCTCGCTCTCTGTCTCGATTTCTGTATCGCTCTCTGCCTCAATCACTCTCTCGCTCACTCTCCCGCTCGTTCTCTCCCTCCTGTTTTCTGTCTTGTTCTCCGTCTCTGAAGCCCATAGACCGAAAAAGCTCCAGTTACTTAAGAAAGATTTAAAGCGAGACAGATAGCTCCCTGTCTCGTTCTCTGTCTCGTCCTCTGTATCGTCCCCCATCTCACGTCAAGGGTTTCTCAGCCGATGATCCGCAGAAATTTGTTTACACAAAATCGATTTAAAAGAATATTTCTGTAGCAAAAAATCCTGACCTGATTGAGCAAAACCAAGGTCATTTTCAGACTCAGAGCATCAAAATTAGTCTAATTCAGCTGGAAAACCCTGGACTATTTTCAAAAAATATTGTTTTGTTACCCAGTGATATCACAAAATAAACAGGAAGCTTGAAGAGAGGTCTAAACCAAGATTTGCCGACGAGGAAAAGAAAAATTATCTTGTTTTAAAGAGATACAAGAAATGTCTCCTTTGGAATGAAAAAATAAAGCAACATTTCTTGAAAGAAGACTAAATGGCTTTGTCCCGTTGGAGAATATAGTTTTAACTCTGTCGTAATGTGCTCAGATTAAGACAAAATAAACTTGAATTTAAGCATTTATTTGGTAAAAAATGCAAGTCAACCAGTATGTGTCATCCTCCTACCCCTCCTACCACCTCCAACCAGACTCATTCTAAGGCCTGGACTCCACCGGGCGCGTCTTCGTTGACGCGCGTTGGCTGCTGTCCGTCAGCCGTCCGTAAAACGGACTAGTGGTCAAACCGGCTGCAGCAGCGCGCAACTCTGGCTGTGCGTTTATCAGCCTGCTTTGTTTTTGTAGGAGACACGTTTGGGCATTGTGTGAATGAATGAATATTTGGCTGATGGAGAAGTGTGTGTGTGTGTGTGTGCGCGCGCGTGTGCGTGCGCGCGTGCCCGCAGCGTTTATTATGATCCAGCCTCTTCGTTTGTTTTCTATACTTATTTAGCGCGTCATACACTTTTATCGGACCCAACTCCCCTCTCAGCGACTTTAGGCAACAGGCAGCCGCTATAGTTTTAAATAGAAGAAGCGGCGTGTGAAGTGCATGAGCTGTGGCTATGATCAGTGCAAAGCACAGCATATTGAAGCATTGAGGACGTCGCGATGGATGAGGCAAAACTTATTGAAAGCAATTGGAAAAAGGGGAGAGAGAAAGGAGAAAAGAACTCCAGTGTTGTTGTGAGATCTGTCTTTCATAAGTGCAGTATAGCTCTGTGTGTGTGTGTGTGTGTGTGTGTGTGTGTGTGTGTGTGTGTGTGTGTGTGTGTGTGTGTGTGTGTGTGTGTGTGTGTGTGTGTGTGTGTGTGTGTGTGTGTGTGTGTGTGTGTGTGTGTGTGTGTGTGTGTGTGTGTGTGTGTGTGTGTGTGTGTGTGTGTGTGTGTGTGTGTGTGTGTGTGTGTGTGTGTGTGTGTCTGTGTGGGAGCGCGCGGCGGTGAGGAGAGAGCGCCTTGGAGGTAGAGGGGACAGAGCGAGAGAAAAAAAAGCGAGGTGTATGTAAAGATTAGCGTATTAACATTACGCGAAAAATGAATGGTAGATTTACGATCAGGAAACAATTATTTAAAGTAATACATGAAGAAAATTACACAGGTTTGTTAATAATCATTGTCATTAACAAATACTTATAACCAAGGGCTACAGCATATATCAATACATGTTTAATAATGTTGTAAATATATTATTCCATTGTATTTTCTATGGAAAACGGACCCGACACGCGTCGACGGACGGAACAAATAGGATTGTTTCTATTTCGTCCGTCCGCGTCCGTTGCACCCTCCGTTAACGGAATACGTCCAACGTGCGTCAGACGGACGCATGCGGAGGCAGTGGAGCCACTTCCATTCACCCTCATGGAGATAACGGAGACGGAGATGAAACGGACATGTTTGGACGGAGCCGTCGTCCGTTTTACGCGCCCGGTGGAGTCGGGGCCTAAGTACTACTACTACTACTACTACTACTACTACTGCTCTTATGCTGCCAGCCTCTCTCTTTACAAATGTTGTACTGCACTCTTCCTGCTTTTAAAGAGAGCAGTCGTGTGTCTCTCTGCTCTGCTTTTGCTTCGCCTTTTAATCTCCTTGAATCATTTTATTTACATTTTTTGATTCTCCTTTAATCATTTTATTTACAAAACGAGGATTACTACTCCTACACACTTCAGCTTTGTGGAATTGATCAACTTTAGTCATGTCGGGACGAAAGAGACAGAAAAGCGTCTGCAGCGGCTGTTGTGCTCTGGAAAATCAGCTCAAATCTCTTCAAACACGGATATCTATTGTGGAAACAGAAAGGGGACTTAACCCGACTCTTCCAATGAGTGAAAATGTAATGAATGGACAGACTGGAAATGTAAGTTATGACGTAATTTCTTTTCCCAAAATCAACAATGAGAATTATTGGAACAATTGTGGAGCTAAACCCAAAGTTGACAAAGCTAAGAATGACAATAGGAGTGAAATAAGGCCACAACAAAATGTTTTGAAGACTTCCAACCGCTTTATACCCCTTTCTGAAACAACAAAGCCGCTAACAACTGCAGCGCCTCCACCAAGGACAAACTGTGTCCTTATCGGAGATGGTTTGGTGAAAAATGTAAACATGGAGTCCATGCTCACTATCTCAGTTCACTCTGCAAAAGTTGCTGAGATAAGGACTCTTCTGCCTAAAGTGTTATCTGAGAACAGTGGTGTGCGTACATTATTGATCCACACGGGGGCGGTAGATATCTATGAGAAGGCAAGCGAGAAGTTACGAATGGATTTAACGCTGTTACTGGATGACCTCAAGAAAATGGACATACCAATTTTTATTAGTGGACCACTTCCAAATATAGATGGAAAAATTGAGAAGTTTAGCCGTCTGTATCAGCTAAATACATTCCTACTCAATGAGTTTTCACGCAGAAGACTTGGCTTCATTGAAAACTTTAATCTGTTCTGGAATAGGCACGAGCTTTTTGAAGAAAAAGGTCCACATCTGAACAACTACGGAGTAAAAGTGTTGATGGATAACTATGCATCTGCCCTAAGACCTCAGCCTGCGCAGCGCGTGCAGCCGTTGAAAGGGAGAAAGAAGAAGCAAAGGGCACAGACATCACGACCATCTCCACCGACTCCTGAGGTCTCTACACCCCCACCGCCTCAAAAGATCTCAACACCTCCAAGGTTCCAAAAGAGCTCAACACCTCCACCACCAGCATCATCAGCAGTTGCCACATCTTCATCAGCGCCATCAGCATATACAGCACCATCAGCAGCAGTGGATACAGCAGCAGCAGTGGCTGCTCCATCATCTTCAGCAGCACCTTCCCCACCTACAGCTCCCGTGAAGCCCCCCCCATTGCTCCAGGCTACAGTCAGGCCTGTACTGGGGGTTCCTCAACCACCTCTGTCTCCACCAAAGACTCCCTCATCACCTTCCATGGACCCGGCTTGGGCCCCCCCCCGCTACATCCACTCCATCTAGGGAAAATGAGGACGACCTTTCCCTTTGTTTTCTATCCCCGCCTTCACTACTGGAATTACCGGAACACTCGGCAGGCATGATAAGATCTGCGATGAAGACTATTCCTCTCACACCCACTGTAGCCAGATCAAGAGTCCTATCTAACATTCAAAACTACTCCCCATACGTACCTCCAAAGCCACCTAGGGCGTCCAACTCAAATTCACCCACAAAATCCACCCGTCCCTCCTCTAACCCCATAAGTATTCCACCCCCCCCTCCTGCTCATTTAGCCCACCTCCCCCTTAACCCATCACCAAGAACCCCTCCACCTCCCCCTCGTCTACCACCCAACTCAGCCTGCCCCTCCCCTAACCCCTAACCCATCACCAAAAACCCATCCACCTTCAACCCCCCCTCGTCCAACTCCCAAGAACCACCCGCCTCTCCATCCTCCTCCCCCGCTTTCCCCCTCCCCTCTTATCTCTAAACACTAGGATGTCTCTGCTTCGCAGCCACTGGCAGTCTAGTTAGAGGAGAGACCCGGCTGGGGCCCTGTCATAAAGCCACCTGTGCCATTCCTTTAGTTATAACACAAAGAATACATAACACAAAAACATCTGAAGTTAATTAGGAAAATCTAATTCTTGTTCCGTGTAAGAATCAGCCGACCACAACCGCTGATCCTGAAACTTTGAAACTTGCTATGCTAAATGTCAGATCTCTTTGTAACAAGTCTTTTTTAATCAATAATTTTATTTGTTCTTATTATTCAAGATTCAAGATTCAAGATTCATTTATTTGGCCATGTGCAGTTAAAAAACCACATTGGAATACGTTCGCAAGAAAGGCACTCCGTGTGCACCGACAGAACAAAAGCACGACACAATGCAATACAAAACACACATACACTGAACATAAAACAATAAAAAAACAGCTGACACTGTGGCACCGATCAACAAAACAATACAAGGGGTAAAAGCAGTTTAAAAGCAGGTAAAAGCAGAAATTAAAATGCTCTGTTTAGGCACCTAACAGCCTGTGGGAAGAAGCTGTTAGCATAGCGAGATGTCTTGCATCTCAGTGACCGATATCTTCTGCCAGAGGGAAGAAGCTGGAACATGGCTTTCCCAGGGTGGCCAGAAGAGTCATTGATGATTTTAAGAGCTTTGTTTAAAAGTCTGGATCTGTAAAGAACCTCCAGGACAGGAAGCTCACAGCCCACGGTCCTCTTTGCAGAGCGGAGCACCTTGTTTAAAGCTCTCTTTTCTTTATCTGGGATGTTTCCAAACCACACAGACACAGAACCAACAAGTAAACTCTCAATGGTGCAGCGATAAAAATTAAGCAGAATCTTAGAGTTAGTGGTAAATTCTCTAAGTTTCCGCAAAAAGAAGAGCCGCTGACGAGCTTTCTTAACAACCCGGTCAGTGTTTTTAACCCATTTCAGGTCGTTAGACAGAGTTAAACCCAGGAACTTGCACTCCTCTACGATCTGCACCTGGGAGTTGTCAATAACAACAGGAGTGTGAGAACTGCTATGACTGAAGTCAAAGACAAGTTCACATGTTTTTGCAGTGTTCAGCTGGAGATTGTTTACTTTACTCCACTGAAAAACATGTTATGTAACATGTTATAATCTAGATCTTATGTTCATGGCTGAAACATGGCTTGACCAAAATACAGAGGCTTAGCTGCCATTTTCAGAGACCACTTTGTCTCCCATAGAATGCCTCTTGGGAAGTTTCCGTCTTTTGAATGTGTCTTTTAAAAAACAAAAACAATCTCCTCCAATACTTTTCGTTGTCCTATACAAGCCACCGCAGTCATGTCACAGTTTTATTGATAATTTTACAGAGTTGCTTTCAGTTGTATGCACAGATTTTGATAGTTTAGTTATTACAGGGGATTTTAATATTCATGTGGATAATGTTAATGACAGAAATGCAAAAGAGCTGAGTTCTGTTCTTGAATCTTTTGGTCTCACTCAGCACGTGAGTGGCCCCACCCACAGCAGAGGGCACACTCTAGACCTGTTAGTTACAAAGGGGGTGAACATTTCTAATGTAAACGTGGTCGATGTTGCGCTTTCGGATCATTTCTGTGTATTTATTTTTTTTATTTTTTTTATTTTTATTTTTTTTATTTGCAGAAAAAAAAAGACATACAAAACAACAGTGATACAAAAACATACATAGACATTCAGGTATACATAAAGGTGAACATACAGGTAGACGTACGGGTAGATATACAGGTAGGGAAACAGGTATTGGCGGTAAAAAGGGTTGAGGGGGGAAGGAAAAAGTTAGTTAGTCAACATCGGCGGTAACATAGGATTCTTTAGTTGGAGAGAAGGAAGCGTAAATAGAAGAGTGACAATATTTGCACATCTATACACGCACAAACACACTATGTATATATATGTGCCACTGCCTACATATGTGCACATATACACACATACACACAATACATCCATATATACACATATACATATACGTACACACATATACCCATACCCATACATACACACCCACATAACGCGTATATATCACACATATACTCACATACACATACATATTTAACTACATATGCATACATATATAACTATACGCCCGTGCATATACACATCTATACACCTCTATTCACATATACAAGAGAGACATAAAATAACAAGGTTGGGGTGGTGATAACAATAATAACAATCAGTAAGGAGAAAAGGGCAGGGGGACTGTAACAAGAAGGGTGTGTGGATCATTATTTATAGATCTTTATATTACATTTATTTATTTATTTATTTTTTAATGAATTAATATTTACTTGTGGGTGTAGTTGAATACTAAGCCAGGCGTGTCCCCCCCCCCCGACCTCCAGAGTGCATCTCTTCCAGCACACCCCAGGACACCAATTCCGTGTGCGCTCGCTGCCTATTTTTGTGGATTTGTGAAAAGGTTTCCTTTTATCTTTTTCCCCTGGTTTAATGAAGTGCATTAAAATAAGCTTAGAGCTTACCCTATTCTCAGTGTATGCTGTGTTGGGCCCTGACTAGTGTGTTGCGTTAAAAACAGAGCAATCATGGCCAGTGTGATGGGTACTGGAGGGACGAGACTGAGATGAGAGGGAGTAGAGCCGGCCCAGACCGCACACCCAACTACCCCCACTGTAGGATTTCATTAATTCAAATAGTTAATTCTGATATTATATAAACAATGATAAGGAATATTAATATAGTAATATCATTAATATCATTATTATTATTATCATCACTGCTAGTGTGATAAAATACATAGTTCTAAAATACATAGATAACCTACACACCTACACACACGCACACACACGCACACTCAAACATACACACTAATAATTAGTTATATTGTGTTTTAATTTTTATTTTTTTCATTCCTTCTCTCCTTTCCCCCTACATAATCTTTTTGGGATGTACAGTACATGTAGGGTTTTTATATCAGTGGACATTATAATTGTATTGATTATTATAAGTGATTGATGAAGTGTTTCCAAGTGTCCTGAAAGGCTGATATATTATTCTGTTTTATAGCAGTTTGTTGTTCGTGTCGCATGTGATCCGAGATGGCATTCAGCCAGTGTTTTATGCTACATGCTTTTTTGTTTTTCCAGTTTTGAAGTATAACTTTCTTTGCAACAGCCAGAGAAGTGAGAAGTGGATTTTGATATTTATGACATAGGTTCATATTTGACGTATCTCCCAGAAGGCACAGAGATGGATTTAATGGAACTCTGCAGCCCAGGATGACGGAGAGTTTGTTAGTAACAGATACCCAAAAAGAGTGCACCGGTGTGCAGTCCCATGTGGCGTGTAAGTATGTGTCTGTGCTACCTAAAGTGCATTGTGTGCATATGTCAGTGTCTGCTAGGTTCATTTTATGTAATCTGTTTTGTGTTAGGTGGGTTCTGTGAATGGTTTTGTACTGTATTAGTTGAAGATTGGTGCTGGTTGTCATGGTAAATATATTATTACATACGCTGGTCCAAAAGTCGGGGTTGGGAGAGATATCCAGTTCAGTTTCCCATTTGACGGATGGGAGTGTGAGCTGTTGTTTGGAGGATATTATTATTTTGTACAGTTTGGAGGTTAATTTTTGTAATTTCGAGATTTTAACAATGCTTTCTACCAGAGGCGGGACAGTTAAATGGTTAATAAGTTTGTTAGTTTTGGATTTTATTAAATTCTTTATTTGTTGGTAATGTAAAAATTCTTCTCTCCCAACCCCGTACTTTCTGGTTAATGTGTCAAATGAGATGAGTGTGTTGTTTTCAAAGAGGTGATGTAAGTGAGTGATACCATTTTGCTGCCAGCGACGTAAATAAATAGGTGAATTATATTGTTGGAAATCAGGATTGTGCCATAACGGAGTGTATCTGCAAGAAGAGAGTGAGGAGTCTGTGATTTTTAGAATTTTCCACCAGGCTGTCAGAGTCGTGGAGATGGTGATTGACTTGAAATACTGTAGCTTTTTGATAGATTGTGGTAGGAATGCAAGGTCGGCTATTGGTGTATCTTTACATTGGTTCTGTTCTAGGACTGTCCAGGGTTTGTTGTATTGCTGATTTTTAATCCATATGTAGATGTATTGGAGTTGTGTGGCTAAAAAGTAGTAGAAAAAATTTGGGGCTTCAAGGCCACCTTGTTGTTTACTGTTTTGTAATGTGGATAGAGCGATTCGAGGCGGTTTGTTTTTCCAGTAAAACTGCGTGATTGAAGTGTTGAGCGATTTAAACCAGTTGTCTGTTGGGGTGGTGGGGATCATTGAATATAGGTATGTGATTTTAGGTAATATCTTCATTTTGACTGCAGCAATTCGACTTATTAATGATAGGGGCAGATGTTTCCAGCGGTTGAGATATCGTCTTTAATATTTTTAAGTAATGGGGTATAATTAAGATTGAAGAGTTCTGACAGCCTGGCGGAAATATCGATTCCCAGATATTTTATGTTGCCCAGGTGAATTAAAGGAAAAAGGTCTTGGGCTGCAGAGTTCCATGAGTCTTTAGTTAGTGGAAGTAGTGTGGATTTTGACCAGTTGATTGTATAATTGGAATGGAGGGAAAATTCATTTATAATGGAGAATGTTTCTTGCAGAGAGATTTGAGGATTTTGTAAATGTAATAGTAGGTCATCAGCATATAAGCTAAGTTTGTTTTCTTCAGTTCCGCTTTGAATTCCTATGATGTTGTTGTTTGTTCTTATAGCAGCTGCCAGTGGTTCAATAAATAATGCAAATAGTAACGGAGAGAGAGGGCATCCCTGTCTTGTTCCCTGGTGAAGAGTGAAGCTGGGTGATGTGATCCCGTTTGTGATTATTGTAGCCCTCGGTGAGTTATATAGCGTTTGTATCCAGTGGACGAACGACTCTCCAAAGCCAAACCTGTGTAGTGTGTGGAAGAGGAATTGCCAGTTTACTTTGTCAAATGCTTTCTCTGCGTCTAATGATAGAATGATTGATTTTGCCTTATTACCTTGAGCTATTGTGATTAAGTTGAATACCTGACTCCACTTCATGACTTAAAACTGAGCACCACAGATGTTTAAAGCCAGTTACTACTTTTACTGTTTGAGTACTTCCCCTTTTTGAGGACTATATATATACTGTATACGTATAAACGATTATTCAGTTCTGTGTTTCACTACGGGGAAACTTCAGTGAGGTCTTTGCCTTCGTTGACTTCACATTATAAAGGTAAGAATTACACTATGACTATCGGTTATGTCGTGATTTGATTGTATTCTTGTTCCAAAATGATATTTCAGGTGGAGGGCAGGTGCCAACACGTCTGTACAGGAAAAAAGCAATTTTTATAAATAAATAAAAATATCCTTGATATTTGATTCACAAACCTGATACCATAGTTTTCGTCTGAAATTTTATGCTTTTATGGCTAATTTTTTTTCTGTTTCTTTTTTGAATAGGCAGTGCAAGAGTTGTTGTATAGCACAGCTCATACATAAAGGCAACTCAATGTACGTGACAAAACAAGAAAAGTTGAACTTTGTCAACATGTCCAGACACGTTTATGACAAAATACTTAGAGCATGATAATCACTCACGAAGATTTAGAACTTTGTGGGAGTTTTTTGTTTCATGTGGATTGGCCCAGGAATAACAAACTATAAGTCTGACTTTTGGGCTGTTACCATGGTTATCAGAAATTATATATCAGCTGCCGTCCACCACAATAACGTTAAATTATAAGCTATTTTGAATGTTGAGGTGTCACATGAACAAAATGTTTTATTTGTGTCACAGGTAAATCAAAATGCTTGCCCACATCCTCTGGCTGTTTTGTCTGGTGCTGCTGTCTTCCTCTTTGAAGACTCTGGACTCGGCCAAAGCTCTACAGGACAGTGGCTTCGGCCGCCCACCGCCCCGACACGGACTGCCGCTGCTCCAATGGTATGCTGAAAGCTGTCTGGACAACAACATGCTCGCCCTCGGTCACCCGGATAAAGGAGAATATGGTTTTCACAAGTTTGAGAACCATGGGGATAAACCGCTTCTGCCGGTGATTACAGATAAAGTGCAATATACATATTTTACACTGGGAAACTTGCACTATCCTCAAGCAGAAAACTTACCGTATGAAGTTCGGAAATACTACAACCCGAAGGACCCTAAAAGCAATATGGACAGAGTTTTGGTTAAATTTAACAATAATAATAAACGCATAGAGGACATTTATGCTTCAGCACATTATAAGTCTACAGAGACGTACAAGATAGGCCCTCATCTGCTGGATTATCTCAGAAAAAAGTGGACAATGAAGATATATTCCTCCCACAATGTGGTTTAATAATGCTGTCCCTGGCTTTTTCATAAGCTGTTTCCATTATAACAGACATTTAGCAGGGAAAAGAAGACTAATATACAGAGTACATTAGAGTATATAGAGTACATGTTACGCTTATGTTGTAATAATAAGTTGTCTGTCCTATGTTGTCCAAACCATTTTTACACAGAAAATGTTTTGCAGTTTAGTTTTCGCTTTTCATTTCCATGGAATCATGCAGGTGATTATTCATGTCTATAAAGCTGTGTATTGTTGCTTTACTGAGCAGGTTTTTTGTCTATGTGAGATGACAGTGTTATTTATTTAATTTATTTATTTATTTATTTATTTCAAAACCTGCACAAAAACAAGTACAGATATCAATTATCAAATAAAAAGAGTCACAAGTTTTGAAAAGGGGGTTGGGTGAAGCAGACGCTTATACATTTCCAACCCCCTCACACTTTCAGCAAAACAGCAAATACAAATTACACTAACACTGTACAGTTATATCATTGCATCAAATACAAAATACAAAATAATAATAATAAAAAAAAACAAGACACACAGAGACAAGACGCACACTCATTCTCTCACTCATACAGACACTGGCCCAAACACTCCCTGACCACACACCTCTCTCCAACCGCTCTGTCCAGGCCCAGGGCATCACTCTCTGTCCTCCGTGTATTTCTTCAATATGTCTCTTTTAAATTTCTTTTTAAAAGCAGTCATAGTTGAGCATGTTTTTAATTCCTCTTTTAATCCATTCCAAATGTGGACGCCTCGGACCGAGATACACATAGATTTTAATGTAGTCCTAAATTTAGGTACATATAAAAGTTTGTTTCCTCTTAATCTATAATTATGATGAGCATCTCTATTGTTGAAAAGATGACTTATATTGGACGGTAGAGAGTTTTCAGATGCCATGAACATTATCTGAGCAGTTTTTAGGACGATCAAGTCCTGCAGTTTCAGTTGCTGGTTTTGAATGAACAGAGGATTGGAAGGATGTCTGTAGTGGACGTTGGACACAATCCTTATAGCCTTCTTTTGCAAGATAATCAGAGGCTGTAAGTGAGATTTGTAGCAATTACCCCACACTTCCACACAGTAATTTAAATATGACATTATGAAATGAAATGAAATGAAATGAAATTTTACTTTTGCGATTACTAAAAAGCATGATTTTGGTCTTTTTTAGGTTAAGGGACAGTTTGTTATTATCAAACCATAATTTTAGTCTGTTCATCTCCATTGTTACAAGGGATAGAAGTTGCGCTAAGTCGTCTCCTGAACATGTGATGGTGGTGTCATCGGCAAAGAGTATAAACTTCATGACTGTTGATATTTTGCATATTTCATTTATGTACATAAGGAAAATTGTGGGTCCCAGTATTGATCCTTGTGGAACTCCACAGGTTATGTCCCTAAAACCTGACCTGTGCATATCAAACTGAACAAGTTGTTTCCTCCCCTTGAGATAACTTTCCAACCATTTTTTTGATGGCCCCCTTATGCCATAGTTTTCCATTTTATTTATGAGAATGTGGTGGTCGATTGTATCGAAGGCTTTTTGGAGATTGATAAAGATTCCTATTACAAATGTATTATTATCTATACCATTCGTTATGAGCCACAAGGTGGTGGTGTCTAGGTCTAGGGGAGATAAGATAAGCTAAGATAAGATTTGCTTTATTTATCTCACATAGGAGAAATTTACATGTCACATTTGGCATGGATAGAGACACTCAGATTGTGCAAAAGGAGGAAATGTGCAAACATGTTACATGCAGGATATATGTACAATAAAGTGACAATAATTATGTGCAACAAAAGTGACAAGTGTCAATTGGAAACAGTGTCAATAGTAGTGCAGGTTTTCACACAGTGATCATTTAAAGTGACTTATTGTACAGTCTGACAGCGGTGGGGATAAAGGCCCTGCGGTAGCGCTCCTTCCTACACTGAGGGTGCCTCAGTCTTCCACTGAAGGAGCTCCTCAGCTCCTCTACAGTCCTGTGCAGTGGGTGGGAGGTATTGTTCATGATTTGAGGTGGCTCAATAACTGAATAAACGGAGTGTGGAACAGAGACTGGAAACAGTCGTCCAAAAAAGTAACAGGTTTATTAAATCCAAAAAATTGAAATGTGCAACAGAAACCATATTCCAAGCACAATAGCCTAGAAGGTGAGGTACAGTAGAACGACCCGCTGGTCCAATGGAGGTCGAAATGGAAGAGAGCGAAAGCCTGGTCTGGACCCAGGCCTTTTATACCAGCAGCTGATTACCACAGGTGAGGGGTGGGACGTCAGTCAGCTGGACGTGGGAAGATCTGAACAGGTGGAGGAAAGGAGAAGGACTTGGTCCGTAACAAACACGCTAACCATAACCGCATTTCAATGGTGATGAAAAAAGGGGAATGGTGATGGAAAAGGGGGGTTTAATCGCAAATGTGCTAGTTCTAAAATGTTGGAAAGACCCTAGTGTGATAGAAAATAAGCTTCTCCCGTATTGTAACAGTTTCACATCTTTCCATTTCAGCTCTCAGACAATCACTGTTCCTCAACTAGGAATAGAAATAAACACAGTTGCGAATGAGTAGCCTTCAGTTTGCCCTTATGCATTTATTTCATTAAACTAACACAAATTGAAAAACTTGTAAAACATGAATGCTAATGCAAAGTTAGTATGATTGATAGTACAGATCTACATACAACTCACATTTACTTACAGTACATTGAATGAAAAATTATTCCAAAAATGTTATTGTTACTGGCACAATTGAATACAGAGAACACACTTCACTTTTAAGTCCATAAATAAAGTATTCTGAAGTTCAGGTAGAATTGAGAGTTCTGGTTGTGTTTGGAGATAATTTATCTCATCTACATCACCAAACCACAAAACTTTGCCTTAAAAGTTCACTATATGTTTTACCCCAATAAGAGGTTGGATGGAGACGGTCGATCACATTGTTGACCTTAATGAGATGTGAAATGGCCACAATGTTCAGAGAGTCAAAGCCAAAAGAGTTTATGATGATAAAGCACGGGGGCTCTCCACACAGGAACACATCCATCTTACACTGTACGCCCTGAAGCCTGAACAGTCTACGATTAAAGGAGACCTCTATAGTATTGCTCTATAGGATTATATACTATACTCACAGAACATATATATCATTTTTGTCATTGTGCTCACCATATGTTGAAATATTGATCCACAACAACATTTAAAATAAAAACTTATTCAATAACAACTTATTTAAAAATGCAGAACTTTCTCTCTCTCATAGTTGTGATTCTTTATAGCAACAGCAGATAATCATATCAAGTGTTTTTGACGTTGAAAAATATGTAAAAGAAAGATACGTAACATTTGTCTTCTCTAGGCGTCTTGACCATGTGTTTTTCTTTTGACTTGAGCTAGGCCTACCTCAAAAGCCAAATGGTGGAATTAATGGATATCAACTTTGAGTAATACAAGAGATGTCGAGAGAACACTGTTATGACTAATTTCAAAGCTCATAAACAAAAGTACGCAATTTAAATAATTTCCACAAGGCTATTTGATGAAACCAAGGTTCTTTGCAATAAAAAGGTAAGCGCAAAGAAAGTTATAAGTGAAGTGTTTGATAACATTGTAGTCAAGTCTATGGATATGGTGCAAATAACACCAACAAACATTACTCCAAGGAAACAAAACCATAGTTCAGAATATTATGTGTTGATGAATGCATTTCTTGTTGTTAGATCTACAGTTGCTGAGTCTTACTGGTTTAAAAATGTGTGCGATAGATGTGCAAATACACGGTGCATTCATTTAGATTTGGATGGTGACCAGTGAGTATCTAAAGAACAACAGCGCCCCCTACATTCCCTACAGTCAAACAGAGAGAAAACCATCCCAGGGGAAACAGCCCGTTCTTCGTGCAGTGCAAAGTAATGATAACAGGCCTCGGGTAAAGGGCTGCCATTAAATATTTACTCTACCGCTTAATATTTCATATGGTAATTTTGTATTTAAATTGGATTTAATATTTAATATAAATACAGAGCTAAGTGGGGTATACAGTTCTCAAACAGGAGTCTAGACACCCTCCACACGACCGGCCAAGTAAATACTACACATACGGAATACGAATAGATAGTCGGCGCCGCACTCAGAGCGTTTACATGGGAAATTGGAGACATGGCCTAATCCAAGACCATGTATCTGTTGCTGTCTAAACATCCTGAAGACTTAAATCCTTGCTACTCAATCTCTCATTCATCTCATTCATTGCTATGATTGTATTTCTATCTGGAGAGACTCAAACAGACTAAAAAGTATTAGAATTGTATATTGGCTGGCAAGTATCTGACACCTCATAAATTACACTTATGACTCTGAAGACAATATTTTCTTGTTTTTTTATTTTTTTTATTTATTGTTGAGAATAGACATACAAAACATACAATACAATACATACAATACGGCAAACAAGAAGAAAACACAGACAACAAAGACAACATAGGTGATCAGTTTCAGTGATATTTACAACGTAAGAGGAGAATCTATACAAAGAGGGGAGAGAGGACAGTGAGACCAACAAGAAAGAAAAAGCAATCGTTGCACGCGCATGTGTGTGTGTGTGTGTGTGTGTGTGTGTGTGTGTGTGTGTGTGTGTGTGTGTGTGTGTGTGTGTGTGTGTGTGTGTGTGTGTGTGTGTGTGTGTGTGTGTGTGTGTGTGCACTTGTTTTCAACTCCTGGTGGGTTCCATAACCTGAGATTCCACTCACGTCATGGGGACTGGTTTTACGTGGTGGGGCCCGAACACCGGACCCCACTGGTCCAAGCTTAATAATCAATGGGTAATGCTTTTCTAACGGTCCTTATGCAGTCTCTGTAAAAATATGGAAAGGACCCCTGGAGGTTTACTTTCCTGAAAAAAGTGTGTTATGTGTCGGAACCCTGGTGGTGGGTTGCGGGATATCAAGGAGGGGCACACTGGGGCAATTTCAGTCCAGCAGGCTGGAGCCAATCATGGAGCAGCACAACAGAGGAAATCAGGTGTCAGGCTAGAAAAAGGTGCAAGTGTGTGGTTCATTAGGCTGCAAGAAATCATGGAGGAGCACACTGAAGCGCACGCTTACAAACCACTGGTAAGTGCTGACTACAAGTCATGACTTCAAATTGTTATATAGAATGATTACAAATTATTTGTTGTTTGTGCAGCTTAGTCAAGAGTCCCTAATTGATGAAGTCGACTCAGATTCTGACGATTTAACTGTCAAGAAGAAACCTGTAAAAAAGTATGGAAAAAGAAAAATCAAAAACACTTTTCTTCAAGACTCGGAAAGTGACGAACCAAAGGCAAATAAGATTGTTATCATGCAGCTGCAAAAGAAGAAAAATGGGGGGCGAGTATACAGCAAGAGACACTTCTGCCTCTACTGTTCAATGTCCTGCCACAAAATGTCCCGTCATTTGACTAGAAAACATGGAAATGAAAGTGACGTAGCCAGAGCATTGGCTCTACCTGTGAAATCTAAAGCACGTAAACTTCAGTTTGATTTGATCAGGAATAGTGGAAACCGTGAGCACAATTTTGAGGTTTTAAAGGCCGGCATTGGAACTTTAGTCCCAGCTAAACAGCCAAATTGCCCAGTTAAATCCAGTGAGTTTTTGCACTGTATAGACTGTGGGGCATTGCTTAAGCGAAAGTCGCTGTGGAGGCATGTGGCCAGGTGCCGGCTTTCACAGAAAGATGCCCAGGCTAAACCAGGTAGAAGTAGGGTCCAGTCCCTCTGCTCCCTAGCCCAGCCTGTACCGGAGGGCATCAGCAAAAAGCTGTGGTCTTTAATTTCGGCAATGCATCAGGATGAGGTCACGGGTGTTGTCAAAGCAGAAAAGGGGATTCTGAGACTCGGAGAGCACCTGTACTTAAAACACGGGCATGATAAGACAAAGCATGATTACATTAGGCAGAAAATGAGAGAAGTCGGTAGGTTAATTAACGAAGCAAAAACCGCAGGGAAACTGAAAACAATTAAGGATTTCTTTATTCCTTCCAACTTTAACCATGTGATTGATGCAGTCAGGTCTGTGGCTGGATATGATGAGGAAACAAATCAATACAAGACTCCATCCTTGGCCCTCAAACTCGGCCATAGCCTCAGAAAGCTAGCAGATATTCTTGAATGTGACTCAAAAATGGAGCATTGTGTTGATGAACTATTTATTAAAAACCTCCAACGAAGCCGGCTGCTTTTTGAGAAGAGGTGGGACGTCTGTGTTTCTTCTGCTGCCCTACAGACCCTCCGGCAAGCCAAGTGGAACACTCCGGACCTGCTCCCTCTGACTGAGGACGTTAGAGCCATGCATGCACATATTGAGGTATGTCGACCTGAATATGTGCAAACCCTAATAAGTGAGCCAACGTCTAAGCATTGGTCTAAACTGGCAGTTTTGACTCTTTGTGAGGTCATCATTTTCAATCGAAGAAGGGAAGGTGAGGTTTCAAAGATGCCACTGACAGCCTTTACCTTAAGAAGTAAGACTGGGATCCATTCTGACATTGCTCTGGGACTGTCCCAACTTGAGAAAAAGCTGTGTCAGCATTTTCAACGCATTGAAATTAAAGGGAAAAGAAGTCGGAAAGTGCCGGTTCTTTTGACTCCTGAAATGATTGCTTCGATGGAGGTGCTGGTGGAGAACAGAAGGGCCTGTTCCATCTCTGACCATAACCCATACTTCTTTTCCCGCCCGGGCGCAGACACCCACATCAGGGGATCAGACTCCCTACGCCAGGTAGCCAAAGAATGTGGTGCGGTGCATCCAGAGATGCTATCCTCAACCAAACTTAGAAAGCACATAGCTACTATGTCTACAGTTCTCAATATGAAAGAGAATGAGATGGACATACTTGCCAACTTCCTCGGCCATGACATTCGCATCCACAGGCAATATTACAGACTACCAGAGGGGACACTGGAGCTGGCCAAAATCAGCAAAGTGTTGATGGCCATGGAGCAGGGAAGAGTGACGGAATTCGAAGGAAAGAGCCTCGACCAGATACAAATTGAGCCTGAAGGTAATTCTTGATATTATTAAAATATGTATGATTTTTTTCCCCTAAAGGCCACTTGTATTTTTATTTTCTGTGCGACAGGGAGAGCAGTAGAGATCCTCTCACAAACGGACGGGCTAAAAGAAACTTCAAGCGGAGAACCTTCAACCATTCATCCAGATGCACCCCATGGTAGTGGCAGTGCCCCTTCTGGTAAGTGTACCAGGTGGGGGATTACAGCCAGGCTGCTTGGTCCTCACCCTGGGAGTGTATATTGCTAATATATTTTTATTTCTCTCCCTAGAACGTGTAAGAAAGCCATGGTCTGCATCTGAGGTGAAGGCTGTGGAGAAGACCATGACACCTTTCATACAGACTGGAAAGGTCCCTGGGAAGTCTCACTGCCTGGCCTGCATTAATGCCTCACCAGATGACCTTAGACATCGGACATGGAGTGGCATTAAATTCTATGTCAAAAATAGAATCACTGCAATTCGAAAACAAAATCTAAAATAAAATTCCTTTAAAATAGTTGTTTGGTTTCTATTGACTGTTTTGTATTACTTAAAGTCTTGGTAAAAAAAGATTATGTCTATGGGTCCCATTCTGAACGGCCCTGTCAAAGGGACCCACCAGGTAACAAAAACGTGTGTGTGTGTGTGTGTGTGTGTGTGTGTGTGTGTGTGTGTGTGTGTGTGTGTGTGTGTGTGTGTGTGTGTGTGTGTGTGTGTGTGTGTGTGTGTGTGTGTGTGTGTGTGTGTGTGTGTGTGTGTGTGTGTGTGTGTGTGTGTGTGTGTGTGTGTGTGTGTGTGTGTGTGTGTGTGTGTGTGTGTGTGTGTGTGTGTGTGTGTGTGTGTGTGTGTGTGTGTGTGTGTGTGTGTGTGTGTGTGTGTGTGAGTGAATGTGGCATTACAGAAATCTTTTCCTATGTACAGAAGAGGGGGAGAAGGAAAGACAAAGTGTATATCTACACATACATACATACACATATATATTCATGCATATATACATACATTCACACAAACAATAATTATAAACATATAATAGTAAATTTAAACATATACATATAATATATATAACATTTAAATTATAATAATAATGAATAATGATATACGATTGTTGCATAATAACATTGATAATGATTATAATAAAGATGATGATGGTGATAATAGAAAAAAAGTATAACATCCGCAATAATAAAATTAATAACTGCAACAATAAATAAGCTTGTTTGGATTGAATGTGTTTTTAAATGTATTTATTTTTTATAGATGTGATCTAATTGAATTGAATGTTATTATATTATTTATACATATATATATATATATATATATACATATACATATATCGATCATACACTCCTCTTATCCATCTGTTATGGTGATTTGTTTGTTTTTGGTGTTTTTTCTGTGTGTCATGTGTGTGTTGC